TACCACTCCTCCGTCGATATATAGTCAATACAATTTTAATAAATCTTAAAATAAAGTAAATGCATTATATTATAAAGGTTTATTGTTAACTGAACTTTTCTAGAGCTCTTTAAGGTTTCTATAACTCCTAAAAACTATGTTTATCTTTGAGTAACTTTTTGTTCTAGACCTTACTTTGATATCAACAACGGATCCGTGCATATTTTTTAAATAAAGCTCTTCCGATCTTTTTTTTGTAAATCAACGAGACACAAAAATAAAAGCTTAGTATTTATTTAAAAAAACATTCCAAAGCGCAGTGAATTTAACTCTACGAGCTCCTCGTAACAACTAATTTTTTCAGCCACTACCCTTACAATCATTACGCTGGGTATACACCCCCCCCCCCCCCCCCAGTGCCGAACACACACGCATGAAGCCCGTAGACCTATTTTTACTTGCACTCTCTATTCATTTGTGTGCAGCAAAAGGCACAAATAAATTTTACTTTAAAAAAACCGTAATCGCCAACAATCTAAAAAAATGTACCTTCTAAATATATGCGTACCTTATGCGAAACACTTTGTTTTTATAAAAATATTTGTGTCAAATTGTGTTGACGGTCATCATAAATATTGATATTTAAATATAAAGACATTACAGACGAAGGGTGGGAGACATTTTAGTAAGCTGATCTTGATCTATACTTATAAAAAAAAGTTATATAAAAACGTGATCGTTGTAAAAAACCTATTTTGTGTATTGTCTACATTTTAACGGTTTAGGCTTCGTCTGTTAAAGTTTTATTATCTACTGCGATTCCCTCGTTTTCTTACATGAAGGACAGGATTAGCTTCGTGCAAATATCGATTTTACACAATTTTATGCTACATGAATAGTTAAATATCGTATATTTCATATTATGCTTCTTTAATAAATGCGAAAAATAAAATACTATTTTTTTAACAAATGAAATAATATTATAATCTGATATAGTATCTTTCTACAGAAAAATTAACAAAAGATTAATTGGCACAAAATATTCTACGCGACATAATCATACAGCCAATCATTTTTTAATAATGGAGAGTATCTTAAAAATACAATTCATTTAAATATTTAATCATTCCTCTGAAAAATTGGGCCAAGTTCGTTTCGTACACGTATACAGACTCAGTATGAATTAATGCTGCACGAATTTTGTTTTTAAAAGTAATTTTTAATTGAATAGAAAATATGATGTAGTATTTGTTAAAAAGAAGATACTTTTGAACATGTAAACTTTTTGCAGAAGATGAAATTGATTAATTAACTCATAAGCTTATTGCTTACTAACGATCGCGAACGATCAGCTGAGTACATTGATGAAAAACATTCAGCTTAATTTCGTCGGCAAAACAAAGCGCGATAGGATGCTTGATATATTTCAACTATAGTTTCAAATTCTGGATCATTGTAAAACTTTCAAATTATAGATATTCTGAAACCGGTGGTTATAGTTACAAAGACGTAATTGGACGAGAGTACATCATAGAATTAATACGAGAATTGAATGACTAAGCGAAACGGAAGAAGTTATAGGTTGGAGATTTCATTTGTTGATGTATAAAATACCGCACAGTTAACTCACAAATTGATGCAAAACAACGAAAATTCGTGTAGTTCAATTTTGAACTTTGCGGTTCGCGAATGAACGTTTGGACAATGTAATGCAAAGCTTCAACATGAGGTAAGAGAAACAGTTAAATTTTCAATCTCTCTATTACTTGTTAGTTGATATATATCACATAAAAGATGCATATATTGAAATGCACATGATTTAGATTTGTTTAAAACGTATGCTCTAAGCGTGATAAAAATGACGTCATCCATTAATAAACACATTGTCACGGACTTTAATCGTTTCAATTCAAATATACTCTTGTCATACTATAAATAATAAGTTGTCAACATTTTGTGCATTTGGCACGAATGTGAAAGGAGCCAGAAGATTGGAAGAGCTTAATGTGAGCCAGCCCAGTTTCATTATCTGAAAAGAGATGTGGAAAGTTAGTTCACTGTTCGAGATGAAGGGCATGTAAGCAATGACGAAGCGAACACAGGCGTTATGGGCGACCTGCAAATCCGCAAGTCAAGTTTTGTGGAAGCCCATAAAAACAATGGAAGCGCAGATAACGTGTAGAAAGGCGAGCGATTGAATAAGACTTTCCTTGAGTCCGGAAGGAATTAATTTGCGATAAAATCTCAGCAAATGTAGAAAGCGGCTTACCTTGCGAATGATATCAATTGTGTAGTGCTTCCATTAATTATAGTCTTGAGGATAACCCGACATCCAGGTTTTTATCGGTAGTAGAGAAGCGGATCCGAGCCATGTTGATGGTGATTTTTGACAAGGTGTTAAAAAACAGCCCGTTTAAGACGACCCAATCGGTGACTGCTTGATAAACTTGAAGTATCCGGGAAACAAGCACAGGCACTTTTAGAAGATCACTTTAACCACTACGAGATTGCTTTTTATCTATTTGTCTTTTTTAATGTCTTTATAATGAAATTGAGTTCAATTGGATACCGGAACACCCCAAAAAAAAAAATTAAAAATGTAAAGATTTTATATATCATCATATCAATTCATATCAATTTTTTTTATATCATGTGAATTGACTAGAGAAGTAAAGGTTGGGTCAACGCTCTAAATATTTTATCTATCGTATAGTCATAAGAGTATCCAAACAGACTTTTCTTTTACCACTTGAAATAACTAGACAAATGATATAAAGAAAAGTCTGTATGGATATTTTTATGAACAGATGATATATTAAGTATTCAGGTTTCCGCAACCCCTGTATTGGAGGTGTTCTGAGGTGGAATTAAAGTAGGGATTTTTCTACTTATTCATATATAGTACCTTTGTTTGTAATGGTAAACAGTAAAATTTCAAAAATATGTTCCTAAATAATCAAGAAACTAGGTATCGTCTCGTGGCCATTTAAATTAGGATAAACCAATCAAACTTTATTGATCCGCCGAATATAAATTTTTTGAATGCATAACAACAGACTATCTAATTCTTTTTTGTTAAACAAAAAAATTCTTTAATTCCTTTAGTGGATTTTGAATATAATTAATTCTAAGTAATTTTTTTCTCTGGCTCACAAGAAAACTATATAAGTTTTAAAAAGTAGCATTTTCGGATTTTTGACTCTATGCCAGGAATGTGTCTTGAAAATTTTTTAATAACCTAAGTGATACACACTTATCAATACAAAGTATATTATCTTCATGTATATTATCGAAAAAAATGTCCAACTTACTTAAACAGATACTTTGTCAGACAAAGCGTGAAACCACTCTAAATGACATTACGCGCATAGGGCGCACTTCAAAAGCAATTTCATGTTATGCGCGCTCGTTCCCGTTCACCCCCCCCCCCCCCGTAAATTATTTTCCGGGATAGAAGATTCTCTAAATAATTTTTTCCCAAAATAGAATTTTACTTCTCGAAGTAGTGATTTTGCAAAATTTTTTGAGTTTTACTGTTATTTTTTAGGAATAATCGCTATCAATCTTTATTTGTTATACATCCCGGTGCCCCAGATTTGGTTATTGCATTACTTTTAATATATATAAATTTTTAACCTCGCTTGCTCCAACTTCACATGTACTTTTGTAATAATTATGCGAGTACATATAGCTTTCCAGTTGCGATACTTATCATTGAACGAAAATTGGATAATTTTCAATGATCAAGTTTCAACATGGAAGTGGTGAACATATAGGTGCTCTTCTCCGAGTCTTTGTTTATCATGACAAGTATGATTACAAGTAATCAAGGCCGTACGCACCACAGCTCGAAGAATTTCTTTAAGAATGTTGTGACTAGGATATCCTGACAGAAGTCATACAGCTCGTATTTCTCGCTAAAACGAATATAAATAATAATGTGTCATCTTCAAAAATATGCAATTTAGAAATTTAACTATTTTTAAATAATCGTTTTGAAAGAAGATAATCTACAATACATAATACCGTACATCCGATGTCAATTGAAAAATATTGTTTCTTGTGATCACTACTTACATACTTTATTAATTCATATTTAAAGAATATATTTTCAGTAAAAACAAATTCTAGAATAAAATAATTACTGTCAACATATCATAAAATCAAAACATAAAAATATGAAAAATAATGATAAAAAGAGAAGTGGATGGAAATTCATCTCAAATTTATCACCAATGAATCTAGTTTTGACAATTTATTATCTCTCCTGTGGGGTATAAGCTGGCAATGTAATTGGCACAGAAACTGAAACAAGAGAAGCAATAGCTTTAACAGCTGCGGTTTTCCCACTGAACCTTCTTCCTACAAAGTTTCACTCTACTAATAAGACACCAAACCTTAGAATATATTCAACTAATAAGTGCGGATGATGGTTTTTGTTAAAGATAAAAATTCATCTGTTTTATTGACATCCTATTTCATTGTATGTGTGTTATAACCTTATTAATAATTTACGATTAAGTCACGTATTTTATTTTTTATCAGTTCATGTAAACAAATCTATTTTATTTACATAAACTGACGACGCAGCTAAAATAATTACAGATATACACAGTTTTATACGTGTTAAATAGTTTTACTAAATCCATAGCTTGCTAATTTTATTTAATGGCAGTTTATTTTCTGAACAGTACCAATACGGTTATTTATATTATTTTTATTTATATTCGAAGAGTTCTTATTTTGTAAAATGTTAAACTTCAATCATTCGTCAACTTTTCAATGCTACTGCCGAATGATAGCTGGAATAACATTTTTTTCCGTAGAATTAAAAAAAATGTTAAACAAGTTTTTATAAGCCATTTAAGCACTAAGTCATGAAGAAGTATAAAAAGTTATTCCTACGATAAAAATGTGTGGCAATTTCATTATTAGTTAATGGTTTAGAAATAGACAATGATATAAAATATCAATATATTTTCATAGGATATAGTATTAAAAATGAACACACTAAAAACGTCTAACAATAATATATTTTGAAACATATTGTCAATTAGGAAGATTACAACAGATAAACTATAATCTGAAAATGAAAGACGTCGCTGATTTGGTTTCGGCAATGGATACACATAAATGCATGAAAATACACAATGGCATGATATTATGGTACGTTAAGCGATACTTAGTTAAGAATAACGTGAGTTTGGGTATAACAATTCAGTGCGTAACGTTGTTTTTGACATGCGAAGAAGATTCACGAGGCGAGTGTGCTTGTCTTTGGAAAATGTAAATTGGTAATATGAATAAAATGTAACACTTCAATCTTTCATACGTATTCGTGACTACATTATGTATGAGCATTTGTGAATTTTCACCATAGCACAGTTTCACACTGCTTCAAAGCTACATATTATCGAATATATAATGCAAAATTGTATATAACACAAAAGCCGACTTTGTTTTTACGAAAACAAATTCAAAGGAGCTTATATTTGGATAATATATATTATCCACATAAAATCAACACGATAAATTTCAATCCATTTGACTAAGCATATTCTGCTCATCATATATAACACCGTTATAATTTTAAAAATGCTCGTTTATACTTTCTATCGGTCTTTTAGCGCTTTTCATCAATTTTTATGCATACTCTACTATATCTTATGTTGTCTAATACAATACGGTTGTGCAGTCTGTTAATGACGATCTAAATTTAATTACAAGTCGTGTAGCAATGGTATAACATACACACTCGGAAAAAATTTTCTCTCGCTTCGACAAAATTAGAATTTCTATGAAATTATTTGTACAGCGTTAATTCAGGTATTTGAGTTTCGTAGCTTCACATAAATTTATATTCCTGAAATATAATGCGAGAACGATCGCAGAGGCTATATTCTAGTTTAATTTGCTAAAATACATATAATTTAAGTTTCAAAATATCTCGTAACTATTAGACATTTGTTTCATTATTCCTAAAATATATATACATAGCCATTTATTTAAAGCATGCAATTTGTAGAGAGAAATAAATAATTTATTAGTATTCATATTGACTCGAAACAAACTAAGCATATTAGTTAAGAAAATATATTAGAATTTAACGATTTTGTCAAATGGAAAATTGGTTTTCCAAGTGCATTGATAGTGCAATAATTGCTTGATATGCGTAACATGTGTTTATAAGTTTATATGATAATACACTAATTCTTTTAGCTGGATAATAACTTTGATAGGTTTTTGCAGAAGTGATTTTGTGCCTTATTCAAGAATGGTGCACAGGCGAAATGATGCCGAATTTTCCGTAATTAAATTCAATCGCTTGATACTTATCTCACTTTGTTACATTTACTTTTCGAAGCTCGTAACAATCAAAGCTGATAAAAGTAATACATAATTGACGCCATAGAAAAGGAAAAATGGTCTTTGAACAACTTTTTGTTAGAATAATTGCAAATCATTTGTACGTACAACTGGTAAGATGCTTTTGCATCACATAATATTTCCTTCACAATAATCTTTTAGGGTATTATTTCAATTCCATTACTCATTTACATTTTTATACTGTAATATAATTACTTTAGTCTCACACAATTTTCGATAATTTTTAGCAAAACCTTCATTTCTCTTTCCAAATAAATCTTAATGTATCTGCTCAATGTAAAGTTTGTTAATAAAACTAACTCTCGTTTGCCATTACAAATACTGTAGAGTAAACACATATCGGTCCATTTATGGAACAGTTTATCATACAAACATCAAATTATATTTTGACGGTTGTTAAATCCTAAATATCTCACAGCATTGCATCAATTACTATTGACATTATAATATCTTATTTTAATATTTGTACGTAAATTAACAAGTATTTGTTCAAGACCATTTTATATTTCCTACCTAATTTTCAAGTTATTGAATTTAGCTTTTATAAATCCACAATATACTCTCTCATTCCTTTTATTTTACGAGATTTTTTATTACTTTAATTTCTTATCGTTTTATATTTAAATGTATTTTTTATTTAACTTTCTCTATCTAGAATTGAATGTCCACAAACCATGGTGGAATCTATAAATTTCTGAACTAGACGAATAGTTCACACTAATTTATGTAAATCAAAGAATCAAATAGAAAACTTAGTTATCTTTAATTACAATTGACTTTTACTGAAAAATAAAACTATATTTTTATATAATGTAAGTAACCCTCCAGCGATTACGTTAGATCAATTGGATCTTTAGTTTATGTACAACATTAAAATTAATATATCTTCGTCAGGAACGTTTTCAATTTGTTTGCTTATGAAATAATTTTCATACATTTTAACATAGATTGAACAACAATATAATAAATCGATGTAAACATCATTTTTAAATATTAATAATTTCAATTCTTTTATGTTTTATTAATTAAATCGCTGAAGGTCTCGCAGTGAATTCTCGACGTCAAATAAAGCAATAATGTCATATTATTCTATTTTACATTCCCGTTATTACATTCACAAATCGTTTCGAAGATATAAAAACAATAAAATTTGTTGCTAGTTAAATGCTACTGTAGGTTTACCGTAAAAAAGTAAAAATGGTCTCTTAATAACTTTTTGTTACAATAATTATAAATCATTTGCAATTGTTCTTCTAGAGTCAAGGAATCGAATACGACATGCATTTTATATTTTTTCATAAGACCACCATGGTCGCTACATCTCAAGTTGACTAATAATTTTATTGCTATAGGACTATGACAGTTAGCCATGTTTTATTGACGATGGAATAATACTGATATAAAATGATATGTCAAACAAATTATAAATAAAACATACAATACAAAATACAGCTCAGAACGAAAACTAGGCATCTGCATTATTATAGCACCTTTCGTATGAGAAATGTGTGAGATGTGCACAATATGACGGTAATTTTTTCAATAATTAACACAGATCATAATGATCATTTATTATCAAGGCACCTAAAATTTTCGATGTGAAATGCATCATGCTTAAGAAGAAAAAATCGAGTTAATGACAATAATTCTAATGTAAGTTTTGCAAAATATAACACAATGGTATATGTATATCAGTCAAAGTAAAATACAAAAACGTAAAAAATAAACACAAAATGTCATCCGTACAATGGGATATGAAATTTTAAACGGAGATTCTTCTAACGGTCGAGTTATTCATTTTTATATGAGCCAACTCAATCGATCTAATGCACGTACTTCAATGTTACCAAAAACAAAAGGATTTTCTTGGTCAAGTTGATACAGTAAGTGCGCGTGAAAGCTTATAAGATATTCTTGACTAGTATTTATTAAATCTACGTTAGATTAAAAAATTATCGCGTCACACGCTTCACGTAACAAAATTCACTCATGCTTTTTAATTAAAATTGATTCTTCTTATAAACCAGAACAATTTTTCAAATAAATGGTCAAAATTTTTAATGATGGGTTATATAAATTTATCAGTCGTGCGTAATTGTTGGTTACGTCTTGGGATTTTATGGAGCCGCTGATCTCAAAAATGTTGGATCTACAACTGCGACTCTAGCAGTTATGAATGCATAAATGCAGAAGAGTAAATTCTGTAACTGTGGGCTTTCCAATTCCTATAGCTCAACAAATTATATTCATAAATGTGCTTGAAAAAATCAAATTTTCTATCGATGAAATAAAATTTACCTTTGTTTCAATAGCAATACTATCGTGTTCTTGAAAGAGCAATTTTAGTTTACTTTTTCCATCATCACTGGAGCCTCGAAGTTGATAAAATTTGTACCTCCATACAGGTTCAGTTATTCCGTCAAAAGTCAAAGTAAATCCTTGCGATAAATCCAATGTTAGGCCAGCTGGTTTTCCAGCTAGTATTACAGGAAAAGTTTTACTCTGGAATTATAATTGAAAAAATGAGATTTTCTTGTAAAATGTATTTCGAAAGTAAATAAAAATATGTTCTATTTGTAGAAACTATGATGGAATTATTCAAAATATTCATAAGAATATTAGCATAGCGAGGGAATATTGAATAATTTTTACAGAATTTTGGATCCTAGCCAAGGTAATTCAAATCCAGCCAGCAGCGAGTTACTCGCAACTCTAATGAGCTACAAAATGTAAGCTCTAGGCAAAGAGAGATCATGCATATTAAAGAGTACGGCAGCGTACAACCTACCTTCAAATGCGTTATAGCAGAGCAAACTGCAGTATGCCAGGCAGCCTCAATTCTAAGGAGCTCTTGTCGTGTTTCGACACTAAGGTAGCGTGGTGATTTGCCCGGGCTCTGCACCAAAAAGCAATGTTGTCGCTCATCCACATTTTCCGATTCTCGCATCACACGGAATAATATTTGATAAACCTTGAAGGTAAGCGCACAACGAGACCAGTCACCAATGTTGCACTGAAATTTGCAAATTTTAATTAAACCAGCGACTCTTCTAATCATTTTTTTCTTTTTGCCAAGATTTTTTTTTTGGCGAAAAAGATAACATAGATAAAGTAAAAGATTACCGACAACATATCTTACATTACTTTAATGAAAAATTAACATTGTATCGACATAGTACTTACAGGGGGTGTTTCAAAAAGTAACAAATCTGGACCCTTTAGAGCTAAAAACCTTGGTCTATAACTTTGCCACAGCTGGTTACTGTTACTAACAGCTTCGTTAACCCAGCCCATATATTCAATTCTTTCGCCGACTCCGAAATTTCGATTGTATAATTTCATCTGAAAAGTATTGAACTATTAAATAAACTCATCCGTCGCAGCTATGCAATTTCAACTAATATACTACCTGTAGATAAGTCAAACTCGTGATATTATCTGAAATGTATTTAAGCCATTGGCTAAGAATAGCAGTATCGTCGCAATGTATTACTCCAGATCGTGCTCCATTTAGTCCTCTCACTTCAAAAGCATTTCGCCGCAATTTATCAGTTCCGAAAATGTACCTCGTAACGTAAGCCATCATCAAGGGCACTACGCAATTTAATAAATACAGTATTAAAAAAAAAGAGATATTCATCAAGACAGATAATTAATACGAACACACCTGTAACTATGTCGACCCATTTTTTTAATTTAATAGAATTACTTGAAGTATTGGATCCTTGTCTACTATGAGTACCTTTTGGACTACTTGGATGTAACTTGCTTGGAGACATCCAACCGTCTTTCACAGTTCCGTTACTAGCACTAACATTATCTAATTTTTCTTCTTTTTCTGGAATATAACCAGTTGGTACACATCATTTTTTTTTCATCCTAGAATTGACTATTTAAACACTAACCTGTTTTTTGTAAAAATGGTTTTGCTGCTCTATAGTGTTTAACTGTTAAAACTACGATATCACCAGCATTTCGCAGAATATTAACAGCGTCATCATGATTACATGCGGTGATATATTCTCCATTGACTACAGAAAGCATGAAAAGAGGTATCTGCATATACTTTTTAATCTTAATATAATCATATATAACTAAATTATTTAAATTCGTAAATTACTCATCACAATTAGTTAAAAACCACGTCTTCGTATTATTAAACCTGATTCATACTGCTTTCGATCAAATGTTAATGTAGAATAAAGACCTTTATCACCGTACTTCTAAGAAATCTATGAATAGCCTTTGTACAGATGTGTCATAGTAAAGTGAAAAGGAAATAACACGTACTTACAAAGAAGAAGTAATAAAGCAAAATATACCCCGATATTGACTGTCACAAGCGAACATGAAAGCGTGGCCTCTAATAGGCTTCACACTATTGGATTATTGAACTTCCATCAAACTTATCCAAAACCTTCCGTGTAAATGATATTAAAAATGTATAAATATACAAGTTCCTTAAATGTTTTACCTTTTATGATAGCATCCCCAACAAAAAGTTGACCAGTCTGATCTGCAGCCTGGTTTTTATAAATTCTAGAGATGAGTACAGGTAACTTATGCTCCGCTCCACCTTTTATGCTCAAACCTAGGCCTCCTACTTTTTGCCTTGTTATTTGTACCATTCTTTCCTTAGTATCTGCAGGTATCTTATTGTGATTTGTTATCTATTAGAAAAGTTATTCGTTACATACACCTGTAATTGGTTTTAAAATATTTCGTTGTAACTGCAGAAAATTTACGCAGTACCTCGACTTCTTCTCTTTGTAGTTTGAGAACTTCCATCGTCAGATAAAGCCTTGTCGGTATAGGCTTGATTTTTCCATCGCTTACAGCTACCATTCCAATCCTCACCTTTAAAGTTATAATTAAATGAAATTTCTAAGTTTCAATAATGGTATTAAATAACTTTTTTCAGTCTTGTTTTGCGTCTGAACTTTCTATAAAACAATCATTATAAAAAATAAGGTTTTAGAATTTAAAATTTTGAGACGTTTTTGAAGTATAAAATTAATAAAAATATAAGACTATACGAGTAGGAAAAAATTGTGAACAATTTTGAAATCTTGATCCACTTAAACTTTCGTAATATATTTTCGAGTTTTTATCTTTATCCTTAATCTTTAATCTTTCAAATCTCTCAAATGTTAAATATTTGTAACATTTGTTTAATTTCTTTTCTACTCCTTCGTTAAAACTTGTATTAGCGTCTCGAAATTATCGATTCACTCTTTGATTATACAAACTGCGAATCAAATGGCGATATCAAATATACCATTTGTTACTGAATTGTATGGTTGTTAAAATAGCTTCCAGATATTTGAATATTTTCAAATCTTATTATAAAATGAACTAATCAGTTATATTTGTTCTAAGAATAAACGAAAAATCTTTTTCATCGTGTTTCCACGATGAATATGTTAGAAATAATAAAAATTTATAATACGTTTAACTGTTTGCGCATCTACTCTAAATATCGAAAAGTTATTCTTGTCACAATCATAAATAAATGTTTCTCAAAATAATTTATACTATATTCAAAGTAGGCGTTTGCGCTTTTACCTTATATCTATTACTAATTGGGGTTATGCTGAGTAAATCCTCAAATTGAAAGTAATTATAAATACATGTACAATGTTTGAATAACGTTATTTTGTAAATTTTTTAAATACAATGCTATCACTTTAAAACAATACTTTGTTATGAAATTGAATTCTTGTTTCACTATTATTCACTGAGTATAATTATTCGTATTACATCATCCATAAAATATACTGGCTCTGTTTAAAAAATACAAAATTATTGAACCTCATTATTGCAACAGTTACATTTTTAATTCATTACTTAAGTTAATTTTTAAATCCTTACGAACGAGTGAAAGTTTTTTGAATGGATTTTTTTTAATCTTAATATGAAATATTAATTTTATAAAATTTTTTTAATTCACCCTCTCACAAGAAACCAATAATAATAATGACTGTCGAAATATGAAACTGCAACTTAATTTTTAAAGAATTTACAGTGAATTATTTTTTAACTTACACTCAACTATTCTAGCCATGACTTTATGTTAGTATATACATTCTTACGCTGATATTTTACAAGCATTTTTATTGTATTCTGCACGTGAAGTTAATAAAAGTTAATGACGCAAATTTTACGTTTGATAATATTCAAAATCTGAGCATGTATGTGTTTTGCCATTAATAATAATTTTCTAATTTATTATTTTCAAGTAAATGTGTTTTGAGTAATTACAGAACTATATCTAATTAACGTTTCTTGTAAATTAAACATTGTACAAGTATGGTTAGTGGCATCATAATATTGCAATTCTGATAAACATTGAATATAATTTTAATTTTTTACTTTCTACATAATTTAAAACATTTTTGAATACAGCTTAGCATTATCCCAGCAATCGAATCATTTATATAAATTCAAAGATTATTGGTATATAATTGAATATTTCGCATGAGTTTAGATGTGTACACTGCATTTATTTATGATAAGAAAAAAACACATTCCGAAAAAATCAAATTTAAAATACTTTTTTCGTGTGCGGGGTTATAACTGTCATATCATAAATACACTTGCTGGAATCTTCAGATTGTATTAAGGGATAGTAGAGGAAAATGGCTTGGGGGGTATAACCAGCCACTCCCTAGTTTTCTATGTAAGTTACCACCGTACGCTACGTTTTTTTTTTACCGCGTCTAGTAAATTGTTTGAAGTTGTTATATTTTTATAACCATTTTCGGTTTTTTCACTTATTTTTTTCAAATATTTGACAATCATTATTCATTTCCTAACAAATGCGTTTTCATTCATTTCGACAAAATTTTCTTAGTTTACTATATAATCTTAAGTATAGAACAGCCGCCCAAAGAATTTTTTATTCTACACGAAAAGTACCCACTTTTTTCTCTGTTACCTTCAATTATTTTTCCATTATAACTAATTATGAAAACTATAATAACTTTATGTACATATTTAGTACACGCGAGGTACATAACTGCTAATTATAAGCATTGCAAGTTCCTAAACAAAATATTTGAAATTTACAAATTTAATTTATTCTAAATCCATTTTTATACAAATTATTAAATAGCGTTTAGAAAATTTCTTCTTTACTCCAAAACATGGTATGAATAGCTCTTTCTAAAGTTTTTTAAAAAATCAATATCATCCATATTAAAAATTTATTTTAAAAAATAATAATAAAAACTTGATTTCCATAAGAGATATTTAAAGTACTGACACGTAAGACTTATCATCTTGTACAACTCGGTCAAAGTCTGCAAAATATTCCTCCATATTCCTTACTCTTCCGTGCTATATATGTTACATGTTTCGACTTACTACACCGAGTACTTTGAAGTAATTGAAAGTAAAAAGATTAGTGTAAATAGTTATCCATTGTTTCATAGACCATCCTACAAAGTATGATTATACGAGCATCTTGTGTGCGCACGTGCGAATATCGATAGAACTAATACTAAGTGATGAGAAGAGTTGCAAAATTTTGTTTGGTAAAATCAAACGAAAATACATAGTCTGAGACTCGGTCAGGTCCACAAGCTAAAAATGTATGTTGTCAAGCAACCGCAAGTAATAGATAGCGATTAATCAAACTGAGATGGTCCACAATTCTAACAAACAATTGAAAGCCCGGCAAGAATAAAGAAGTGGAGCATAAACTAATCAGAAGAGTGTTGAATGTCCGCGGCTATTTATCCGTGTGAAAAATTCAACGAGTAGAGAGAGAGAGGAAAGGTCCGTTCTATAGCCGAGGCAACGTCTTGGACTACCACGGAAAAACGGGGAAAAACGCATAGAAACAAGGTCTCGACAAAATTTGGTTCACTTTGTAGGGTCGCGCCTTACAAAGTGAACCAAAAATAGTGCAGCGTTATAACCGACTAAGCATTTGCCCGAGCTTTTTTTCGTGACAGGCGCGCAATGAGCTTGCGCGCCGCATTCTACGTACCCCGACCAGTACGTACGTATGTCTGTATGTGCGAGTCGAGGTTCAAAGAACTCATCAAACATGGATTAGTGACACGTCCCCTCCCGGCCTTTCGCGCGCGCTCTTGCTCTCTCTCTCTCTCTCTCTCTCTCTCTCTCTCTCTCTCTCTCTCTCTCTCTCTCTTTCGCTCTTGCCGAAGCGCGAGGCGTCTCTTACTAGCATGAGCCACACGACAGACGGCCAATTGGTAGCGTCGCCGGATGATGAATCAATCAGAGGCGATCATCGCTCGAATTAGAGTACGAAGCGCTCAATACTGGCGAGGAAAGGGCTATGGCAGACAGCAAGAGAGGAAAGATTCGGCGCGCATGTGCACGCGAGAAAGAGAGTAATAGCGCGCGCGAGTAGGCCGAGTAGAGCCGATGGAAAGAGAAAGAGCGAGAGTACACAGACGCATGTAGGAGTACAGCGCGGAGGAGGGTGTACGTGTTAAGGCCGACTGGGGAACATCATGAGATTGCGGCGCGCAGCAGCGAAAGGCCAGCAGCAAGAGGAGAGAGAAAGAGAGAGAGAGAGAGTAAGAGGGTTAGACTGGCTGGAGGTGCTAGGCCAGGCGAAGAGCGAGAGAGCAAGAGCAATACGCGCTCCGGTTATAAAGTTGACTTTATCGATCCTGCGGCGGAAAAACGGAGACACACATGAAGGTGAACTGGCGCGTTGCTTGCGGCTTGGCATCTCAATGGGAAACGCGCGACTTGCCCAACGAGTGCATTAGTCGACTGCGCGCGAGGCGATTAAGTCGACCAAGAGAGCTCGTCACACCTACAAACGATGCGCCTTTCTCCAATGTACCGCGCTGATAGCTGCGAGCGGCTGTTGTGCACGCGGCCGAGCCCGCCAACGCTTTTACGGTTGCCCCCTCGGCGTCTACATGCCTGCACGCCACATGCCTGTGCTTTACCGCTGCCGCTGCTGCTCGCTCGCAGTCATCGGGCAAAGGACGGCACGATACATTTGCACCCCCTCAATGGCAAAAGAGGGACACATAGCTGGGATAAGCTTGTTTTCATAGGGCCTGCGAAGCCACATTATCACAAAGGCAATCTCATTTATTGGCTTGACTCGCTCCGCCCGACTGTACAGGGACTCTCGAGGAACAAGTTTGCTGGCTTGTTATACGTTTACGTGACGACTATCGACGTATTCAGCGGCAACAACAGCGGAAGGCTGCTTGCCAGATGGATAATGCAGCACGCGCGCTAATTTATCTTCAAACTGCCAGAGCGCGAATCAATATTTACCGCAAAAATGTATTACAGCGTGCGGGAAGCGGAGGCCACGCGTAAAACTTTGCAATTGATATCGGATTGGCGTCACGCAACGCAACAATAGCAGCGTAGCCGTGTGTGTTTATCGAAGTGGCATGCTGGCCGTGCAAGGACTAGCGAGTTTACCTTGAGGTTCTGCTCGAGCCTCTCCTCGATCGGAGTGCACATTCTGGATGGATTGACTCTCATTATTGGCTTCAAACTGCCGATAAGGTCGCGGGTCTGCTGTTGCTGCTGCTGCTGCTGCATCCGCGGCGAGTTCGAGGCTGCAGCGGCAGCGGCGGCGGCGGCGGCGGAGGCGGGTAGAAGGCGCGAGGAAGGACAAGGAGATGCTGCGGCGGCTGTTGCAGCTGAGCCTGCTGCTGGCTGCTGCCGGCACTGCACATTTTTGCCGCTGCTCGGTTGCTGCTGCTGGTGCTGCTGCTGGTGATCCTCTTCCCGCGGCTCCTTGGCTCTGCTGCCGCGGGACTGTTGGCGCTCGAGTGACTGAATCCTGGAGGCTGCAGCGACGGACTTGCGCGAGCTTCCGCTCTACTGATGCACTCCGAGCACGACGACCGTCCAGCGGCTCGTCATCGTCTGCTCGCCGTCCCTCTGTCGTCCCTCGTTCGTTCCACTCTGCCTGCCGCTGGCTGCCCTCCGCGCATGCACTCGCACTCGTTGGCACACGCACGCACTTACACACGCGCGCACACGAGCGAGCACCGGTCGTGTGCGCGCGCCGCTTCCACCTACACGTCCCTGTACTCGCGTGTGAGTGCAGCTCGATGCTTTCTACTCGCATGGTCCGTGCATGGCCCGTGCACGATATACCCGCTCGCAAACGCTTCTCCATCTGCGTGCGAGGCTTGCATGTATGTGAGCTTTAAGCCCGCTCTATCGTGCTTCCCACGAATTGCCAATACCGAGAGCTTTTCTCCTACGCTATATACGTGCCTTTTATGTGCTATGTGCCCCAATAGCTATAAACTGATGAGTAGAAAAACTTAAGAACTTGAATATGAATGAAATAGCAGTCATTGTGAAAATAAGGTATGAGCTTGAAATAGCTCTGCGTGTAAATAGTGTCATTTTAATAAAACTTGAAAAAAACTGAAAATCAAAACTACCAAACATTTCAATGTAACGCTTCACTTCATCTTACTATATAAGTTTAATGTATCTCTCAACAGATTACTTTTATTTACAAACTCAACACATATATGTGATATATTAAGATTGTATTTTATATAAAATGAATCTTCTTTTGTAGTATCAATAATACAGAAAAAATACAAAATTAAAATATTTTCTTTTATTCTATATGTTTACATTAATCATTGATTGTACATAATCCATAGATATGTACAAAGTATTTTTAAATTTGTCCTAAAAGGATAAGGTCCATGCAGACCCTAAGAATTATATATATATATATACAAAACAATAATTAGCAGCTTCACAAATTCAACCATAGTAATTACAGCACATAATTTTACGTCAATATTAACATTCAGAACAATAAATTTTTAAGAGCATCATATGAAGCATTAATAACACCCCAACTAATAAATGATCGCATAAAATTCAAATGCACACCTTTATAAAAACTCTTTATACTTCGATTTCTAGCTATATAAATGTCTTGAACACATTTTGAAAACTTTTCGAAATCACCACCTATTTTTGATTGCATGTGAACTTTTATAACATTAACAGGATAGAATACAGTACTTGTAAATCCACCTATCAATGCACCACTAATAAAATTAGATAAAAGAGAATTGTCATCTTTTAACATATATTTAGATTGTTCTCTTAATGTAAAAAACATTAAATTTGATAATCCATTTCTATAAATAATTGGCACTAAACCTCTGTAACATTCAGAAAGACCATATTCACGCAATAAAATACTAAAAGCATGTGGAGTATTCTTAAATTTATCATGATATCTCCAATCCTGTAAAAGTGTCTGAACTCTTTCTAATGGCATTAAAATAGCTTCACATGTTCCAGCAAAATTAGCAGCAAAAATTTTAGCGAATGTTTTATGTTCAGTCAATACATACAGTCTCTGTCTGCAGCCTTCATAAATACTAAACATTAAGCTTAATGACAGAGTTTTTTGACACAGTGGTGGTAATATTCCTCTATACAACAATCTAACCCCCTCGTGTGATAGCTGATGCACTGCTGTTGTGGCTGGTACACCTTCTAGAATCTGAAAAGAAATTGATTACATATCATTAATTATTTTTTTTAAATTTTATGTTTCATTGTACAATAATTTACCTGTCGAAATATCACTTTGTTTACAGGATAAGTAACAGTAACATTAATCACAGCAGCACCCCAGCCACAAAGAAATTCTCTAGCATCATTAGTATTTAATTTCAGTAGTGCAGTTACATTTACACTCTGGTGGTTCATTTTATCAAATTGGTTATCAGCTTCTGCAGCTGCATGAACTTTTGGGCAGGAAAAATAATCTTCACATCTTTTCCAATTCATTGCTAAATGATAGTAGTTGATTAAATATTTTGGTCCTAAATATAATCATAACTAATTATTTACTATATACATTTTTAAATTTCATTTTTACTTGAATTTTGACTAAAAGCTCACTTAAGTTATTCTTTAGCTATTTTTAAAATTTATATAGTTCTATTAACATATTTTTCAATATTATATTCTTTAATTTATTGAGTAGAAAAAATAATTAGATATATTATACACAGAATATTAAAACTTTTTTACTTATCAAATTATAGCGATTAATTACGCTTATTTTTATACTCTATATTACACGTGTTGTTCAAAATCGCACATGGTTTACTTGTCATCTACCATGAGCATGCTGAAAACATCCAAATAGTATAGTTACATAAGACTCACCTTCCTAAAAGCTGTCGCATCTTTTGATGCAGTAATCATTATAACTTGTATTAATATCTCTTGCTTATAATGAAATGTTTCCCAATCAACCCATATCTGTTATGATGTGTTTATCTATAAAGACGAACATTTTGGATCCTATTACTTAATCCAATCTTTATCAACTATAATGTGAAGCACTTGTAATCAGCTGACCAGCAGACATTTTTTCGTCTTATCGTATAGTTTTGTCAATAACATCCAATATTGTTTTAACTGAAGCAAGGTGAAACAACAGCTGTTGACTTTTGTATTACCAGTTGCATCAGGATAAAAATATGGAAGTAGTTGGCATTGAAGTGATAAATGACATTTGATTTCACATGTAAAGCAATGTAAATTTTCCTAACACTAACAGAATATATATACTCTATACGCTTATTCGCATGCACCATTTAAAGAATATAGATCGACGAATGATTCATGAAAACTTACAAACAGTCGCTGAAATGAAAACATGATCATACGTGCGTTTATTCCACGTTGTCCACAAGAACCAATCGTATTCGATATTCACAAATAGTTCTAGCAGAAATATACCCAACTGTCTACGTGTTACTTGAAGCCTATAATAGACACTATTTAATTAAAAGGTGATTATAAGAAGTTATTCAAACGATTAGAGACTGAAACTCGTCTCTCTTCCACAAGAAAAAGATTGCATTAATAAAATAGCTCTAAATTATTTCTTGCAAACATTGTGAAGTTCAGGTCAATATAATGCATTAAATGCACTTTGTCAAACAAAGATACTGAAGTTTGAAACCAAGACATAATACTTTTTATAATGTTATTTTAAATTACAGATATGAGACAACTAAAAGGCAAAACGAAAGAAACAAGCAAACAGAAGAAGGAGCGAAAAAAAGAATTCATGGAAAATAAGCAACGTCTTTTTACTATTGTACTCCCAACCATTGCTGCAGTTTTTGCTTTGATTGTAGCATATGTTTATTTAAAAACACGTCCAAAACCTATCGATTATTGATCAGAGGTCATTAATGAACATTAATTAATACTTAACCGATACTATTATCTTATATCTGTTCTTAATATTCATTCACTATGACTTCATAATTCAAAGCTTTTTATTTAAAGTTAATTGTTCTTTAATTATAAATGTGTCTATAGAAAATTCTTAAGGTGTATTTTGTTGTATTTTTGAAATTATAATATATTTATTGTAACAGGTTCGGAAGATATTTTTGAAAAATATTTTATAATTTCATTAATTTTTTTTTATAACCAAGTACAAATAGATACTTTGTATTTATAACAAATATTTAAAGATTGTTATATGTATAACATAATGATAAAAGGGTCCAGGAAAAAGTACTACTTTCAATTTAAAACTACAATCACAATTATATTGGATATAAATTATTTTATATAAAAGATGTCGAAAAATATTGATATTGAAGCTATAATTTTAAAAGTATAACTACATTTGGATGTTTCAATTATACTGTCAATACTACTGAAATAAATTGTAAAACTGCATTAATTCATAAATATCCATGCAATATGAAAAATATTATATGTATCATAACAAAAATTTAACATATTTTTTAAGATTAATGATTAATTTTGCACTAATATTGTGAAAAATGCATTTGTGAAAAGATTAATAAAATCAATTTTATCAGAAGATTGTTGTTGCTAACTAAGCTATTTAAGCGAAGTACAATTCAATTACCAAATTCATTTTCAACAACAATAAATACAATCTTTCAATGATATTTCAAATGCAATAAATTTTTGGAACATTGCTTTTTGAAATATAATAAAATCGATTTTTACCTTTAACTAACATTTTTTACTGAATCCATTCTAATTAATGCTTATGCGGCTATAATCGCGCATTCGCTATATAGTAGCTGACTGGTTCATTATAGGAAATATTTAAAAAATGTACTCAGTAGACTAATTAAAAGAACCCGGTGATCAAATCAGATGATATCGTTGAGTCGGAAAAATGCGGATGTGCAGTGTGCACTCTGCATATGTAAAATTTTGAGGTACTGAAATGTTTTACTTGCAAACAAAATGTATCTGGAAAAGTTCAACAATTAATGACGAAAAAAATATTGAATTATAGATGGGTACTCACTGTGAATTAATAATTATTTTCTCAATTATGGTTTTCACCTCTATGTATAGGTAATTGAGCTTAATATAACAGGATAGAGAAATTTTTTATAACCAAAAACTCTAGAAAATATATCTTGTAGAAGATATATCTTAAATTTGTAATTTATGTGTCGAAAAGTTAATATAACCAATTATGAGTCAACTATTTAAAGTATACAAAAAGTTACTCATTAGATATCCTCTTAGAATGCAAGCTTTACAAGCTGGTAAGAATTTATAAAATGTTAAGATTACCCTGATAAGAGAATACATTTTTGATTGTATGTAGGTGCACTTATGGGACTTGGTGATCAATTAGCACAAAATGTAATAGAAAAACAACCGATAAAAAATGTAGATTTCAGAAGGACAGCACAATTTGTTGCTATTGGCTTTTGCATTGCGGTAAAAAATAAATCAGCAGTGAGCTACTCATCGAATATTCACTTTTGCATTTAATATTACTTAGGGCCCTGCTACAAGAACTTGGTATGGAATATTGGATAAATATTTTGGGTCTAAAGGCGCCTTAGTTGTTCTAAAAAAAGTTTCATGTGATCAATTACTTTTTGCACCAGCATTTATAATTGTACTGTTGAGTACAATTGGTCTATCACAAGGAAATAGTATTGAGAGTGTTAAATCAAAATTAGAGGATGATTATATAAATGTATTAATAAATAATTACAAGGTAGCTTTCTAAATCCTTAATATAAATGTAAATTTTACTGTTATAACATTTTCTTTTTCAGTTATGGCCCATGGTCCAAATAGTCAATTTCTATCTTATTCCCTTGAATTACCAAGTGCTAGTAGTACAATCAGTTGCAGTTTTATGGAATACATATATTTCGTATATAACTAATAAAGGAAATATGTAAAATATATTTGATACAATAAAAAATTTGTATTTTATTTTTGTAAACTTTTAAAAAAACACTAATAACAAACTTATTTATTTAACAGATTGAATATCAACAATTGTACAAGACTTTTTACAAGCCAATGGTATTCAGTACATTTATAAAAATTTCTCAGCTCTTTCAAAACGTATTTCATTTCAAAGTCTACTTTAGTATTTTTATATGTTACATTTGTAAGAAAAAAACATGCAATAAAATTACTTTAAAAATATAATAATACATTTTCCGGTACTATAATGTTCAATCATATTTCTCAATCTGGAACTGGACAATTTTCGGCTTTTGCCATTGCAAGTGGAACTTTTTCTGAAGTTTTGGAAATAGTGCAACGTCCATGTAATTCAGGACACGATATTTTATTTGTCTCTATATCATAAATTTTTTTTAGCAAATCATAATTGATTCGTTGCGATATTCTTGAGTCTTTTCTGTAAATAAAATAAACAACCAACAAATTATCAATTTATACTTAGAAACATTGGTCTTTTCTTCAAGAAAAGAATATTTACTTGTAATCTGGGTGATTAAGTACTTCTTTTCTCAACCACCCAGCTGTAGTCAAAAGTTCACCCGATGCTCTTCTTTGAATTAATTTCAGATATCTTTGTATTGTACAATGAGTATCAGCATCGGCATCCATACTTGAAAGATAAGAATTGACAAGAGGAATTAATCCAGGAAAAGTACCTTCCTAAAATAATAATTGAAATTCAATATAAGCGAAACAACTTATTTGCAACAACTAATGCAGGAATGAAATACAAACCTTTCCATTTACTATTTCATCAATGGTATATTCTGTATATTCATCTTCAATATTATCTTGTTGCGCGTTACTCGTGATGTCTCGTCTGAACCAAAACTTTTCAGACTTAACTGCATCTCTTCTTTGTGCTCTTGCCATATTTTCGTCTACTTTACTAATTGGAATTAAAAGGTTCAACTTGTAACTCAAAATTACTCGAGTCAAAAGTACTACAAAACATACAATAGCTGCGTTTTCAAAATCAGTGATTTGTACTTCACAAGGTCGAAATTCGACTCTCCATCCAATTGAAGAGTTTGATGGAGGTGGTTTAAATCGCATAGTTTGCCAATTAGTAGACTGTATATTCTATAAGAAAAATTAATTTTAGTAATGCAATATTTAAATAAAATTTTCATATTTATTTTATCACCACCTCAAAGTGATCAGTATCTTCTTCATTATTCTGGTGAACTTTTTCTGAAAATAGAGAAACTGTATCTCTGATAAATAAGTGAGCAATATGCTGTGCTAATAGTTTATCTATCCCATTGTCCATTAATTGATTGTAGATTTCTTCATCATAGATAAGTGGCACATCGTTATAACGTGCTCCTTGATCGCTTAAATAAGAATCAATGGAATCATATCTAGATTTGTTGATTTTGAATTTGTTTTCCTTCAAAGGTCTTAATCCGCGCTCTTCTTCAGTTCGATCATCAACAGAATTAGCAATCACATTCCAACGACAATCAACATCCGTTATGTATCCTCGATAAAAGGGACTAGCAGCAGTAAGAGCCAACTGTTGAATATGAAATGAACATTTTCTGTAAGACATGCACGAGAGACATGCTAATTTAGCATCTGCGGTGATAATGAAAAAACTTGTTTTATACAACATATTTACCATTGCTGGGCAGAGAGGAGTGAGCTGGTCATATAAAATTCTAGCTTCTTCAATATTACAAGCTTGAAATGTCAATTGTAAACAACAACAGCCCATTCCAAAGCCCATAGCATCCATATAAACATTATCTTCCTTAGCTACTTTTTCACTTGAACCATCATCTCCTAATTCAGATAAATTTTCTTTGAAAGGCAGTTTTAGATTTTTATCCTTGTAAACTGAAAATAATAAAAATATATTTCCTAATAGATGAATTTATGAAATTAAAATATTCACATGCAGATTAATCCATATGATTTTCTAATAAATTTCAAATATTGCAGTGATAATTTACTTATTAAAATGTAATGATTGGAACTCTGATTTTTTCATCTAACTATTTGTTCGTCCACCAGTAATTGATTCTACACAAACGTTTTGAATTTAACTGCTTAAGTCTAAGTAAATACAGATTTAAAAATTATCAATTATCTATTTATCTCTTTTTCTATTAAGCAAATAATCAAGATTGAAATCTATCAACAATTTCCAAATCTGTATTTACTTTGTCTTCAGTAATCATATTCAAAATGATTGAATATGAATCACAATTAAAACATAATGTAGTATAAATATTATGCTTCAAAATTCAATTATGTCGAGTGTAAGTATATTAATTTAAATTACATCTGTTTCTATTTAAGTTGACTTTGTACCAAAATTTTTGTTGAAAAATCAATTTTTTTATTTCAAAAAAATTCTTTTACTCCTCAAAAATAAAGAAACATAACCATTACTATAAGAAAGAAGAAATTATTTTTTCAATGATATAATATTTAAACCTCATTAATTGCTATTTATTTTTTATAAAATCTGTGTATTTTAAATATTAATTTTTTCAACTTCAACTTCAATGTACATGCATTAGAAATAAATGAACTAATAAGATTTCCGATGTAACTAGACAAAAATTTTCAGAATACAATAGATTAATCACTATAATGAATCTCATTAAGGAAGTATTTATATGTTTATAAGTATAAGTAAGAATAGCACTTATTTCAATATTTTATGAATAAAATAAGGATTTAATTTTTTTTTCAGTATGCAATTGACACTTGAAACCTAATCAAGTTGTTTTTTCAATTAATATTGGTAGCAGCTCTAAAAAATTTTTGTTACCTAGATAATTATAATTATAACCCAGAAACAAAAAATGGACAATACATTAAATAATTTTACGAATAATTGTTAAATCACTTGAAAATGAGTATCTCTAATAAATATCGCCAAAAGAGATATCAATTGAGATCCCAACAGTAATCGTGATGCATTATCTATTATGTGTTTTTTCTGAGAATTTAAAATATATAGTGATATGATGCTGATCTCTATGATTTAAACTGAAATCTCACAATGTGCTCAGTTAACATTTTATATTTTAAAATCTCGAAAAATTTCAGAAGACAAAATAAGCTGATTTAAACTTTGTTAACTGAATACATTCTAAGATTTCAATTTAAATCATAGATATATTCTGAATCTTGGAATTAAATACAAAATATAATATATTATAATCATAGGTGATATCACAAGTTATATCTTATCTAGCAATTTCGGGATGAAATTTAACAAACGAGTATTAATACAATGTGAATGCCAATTTCATTGAAAATTTAAGTTAAAAAAATTTAATTTTCAGTACAGAGTCACCTTAATTAATACTGAAAACGTTTTCATACTTGGTAAATTAATAGCAACTTTTTCTCCTCTGCGATGCCGTATATTTCTTGTCAAAGTTTTGAAACGTGGATGTCCAGAGAAAATAGCTTCATCTGGAAAGAATAAACTTCTAGATGCTCCAGATTTTGGATTAGGAGCTGCAGGAGGGTCAGTAAAATCAGGAGCTCCTAATCTGTATTGTAATTAATTATTAACTCTAATATAAGAAAAAATAGATTTTATATATTTTTATTCATAAAATAAAAGTAACCTTGGGAAATTTGTTAAAGACATTAATACTTCTCCAGGTTGCAACAGCTTAGTGGCTTCTTGTCTTCTATATTGCATATTAGCTTCCACAACATTAAAATGAGCTATTAAACCACCATATGGCTTACCAGGGGTGCCTTCAATCATATAAGCACCATATTCCGGACGCCAAAGAGACTTGACATTTCTTGAAAAAAAAAATGAATTCATAAAATGAAATTAAAAACTATGAAGACATCAATTAATTAAAATAAATTTTTTATTTTAATTAGATTTGTTGAAAATATTTTTTTCATGCATTGTGAGAAATATTACAACAGAATACTTTTCTTTTACTTGAAATTTTAATTATATTTATAAAGCAAAGTTTTCAAATAATAATTGGTAAAGTGTACATTGAATAAGATATAAAACTGAATATATATATTTTTCTATTTACTTTGGATCTAAATGTTCTTTTTCTTGAAGTTTTGCAAGATACCTCTCTGCATTTAATGACACTTTTGCTGTTTTTTCCGCATCATTGAATTTTACCAATATATATTCTACCTGCAAAAAAATATTATTGTTTTTAAACCAGAAAAAAAATGTTAAGGTCTTGTAATACAATACTGTGTCATTATTTAGTTTCAAAAGAGATTTTAAATTTCAAATGACATAGTTAATATTTTTTGAATATATTTCAATAAAAATTATTTATTAAAGTAGGATTAGTATCAGTTCAATGATAAACAAATAACTTTTAGAGCAATTTATAACAAGCATCTTACTAGTTAACACTTTTTAATTCAAACAAAACTAAAAGTACAAAATATTAAGATAAGATAATCAATCAAGACTGACATGCTACTCCATGATACTGATAAGGCAGCAAATTCTTCAGTAAGGTGTTCCTAATAATGATGATATCATAACATAACATGGCAAGATAATGTGTAATACAATTTATTACCTATTTATTGATTTATAATGCAATATTTTTTACGATATATTTTTTTACGGTTTTGAAATTAATTTTAGTAGATTTCGTAATCCTAACTTTATTTTAAATATATTACAGAAATGAATTATTTCCTTAAAACAAAAAATGCAATGTACGAAAAAGAATTAATAATTAACATTTAAAACCAACCTCATCGCCCCATTTTAAGATATCGCCCTGTCGGTCTCTAAGTCTTTTATACAAATTGATAAACTGTATGACTCCGTGTTTTCTCACGTGGTCGGCAAGTTTTTTAGTTTCCTCCCAGTTCAAGGGGCTTCCTTCTGATAACAGACCCATTACTTAGATGTTAACCTCCGGGAAGTTCACGTGCGTAAACCGCTATGCAAATGTAACTTTTTATAGTCTCCACGAATCAATGATGACGATGCACAAGGTTATACTTAATCGTTGTCACTTTCACTTTTCAAACTACAACGATTTGATCATCAAACAATAGTGGAAGAATAACACTATTAGAGTACGTGTCGTTGAAATTCCTTTCTTTTATATACTTCAGGACAACGAGCAATGTTTACTAAGTCAACAAAAGCGACGTCGGTCGACACAAACACAGCTTGCGCGAATTGTTCGGCCGACGCTCGCAGCTCTACTAGATTATATATCGTATGAATAATACTATATATATACACACACCTTGTGTGTACGAGGAAATGTCTATCTGCTAGTATCTATTAGGTGCATATATATACATACACATCGACATATATGGAAACTATCAAGCATAACCAAATACCGAGCTAAGAATGATGACTAGCACAAATAAAATCTAAAATATTTGTAAATATTACAGCGTAATGCTACAGGTCTATATATGATAATCAAAAGTTATGAAGGCTATGAAGTGAAAAATTTGAATTCCTGTTGATATCAGGTTGATATATATGAGATGATATTAGTTATTATGCAAATCAACATTATGTACTTACTTTTATTTGGCGTGAAATTTTTTTTATTTATTACATGAAATTTGTTTATTTATCTTATTAGTAATTAAACAAATGTTTAATCAAATTTTATGACAAACTTTAATCAATTATATAAATATACGATTTCTTTAGTTTTAATATTAAAATAAATATCTTTGGCTGATATAAATTATAACGTTATTGATTTATTTTATTGAAATAAAATTTTTAACTATTCCGATTTTTTAAAGATTTAGATTATAAATTCAGAAATTATGAAAATAAAAAAATTAGTTTAAGAATCCTTTCCTTTTTTTATTAAACTTTACAATAATGACAAATAATTAAAGTTCAACTATTCATTTAAACATATCCACTGAGCATTTATTTAAATGGCAAATTAGAAATTATTTTTCAAGTTTCAGTAATCCATGTTCAAAAATGTTCATAAACTACAAATTACAATATCTTACAAGTTAATAAATTTAAAAATCTTCAGTTAAATTTTTGTAAATGAAACTTATTTCACTTTTATTTAAATTGTAACTTACTAGAGTTAACTTATCAAAATTTAATAACCTTATTTTAATGTATGGGCAAGGATTAAAAAATAGTTGTAAATTGATTTGTTACCAACAATGGTCATTTATTTAGTTGTCGATAAAAAGCATTAGCAGCATTCAATTCTGATCTCAAATGAGTTTCTTACTGTTGACCATATATCCAGAACAGAAAATTATGCAGCATTCTGAAAAAAAATTTATGCTCATGTATTTACTCTTTTTTATTTAAATAAATATTTTACTTAAAAAATGTGGTATCAGACTACAATAAATGTGCTTTTCAACATTGAAATTGACGATCAGATGGGTTCAGCTATTTCTAGCTTCCGATCGTTAATCAAAATCTCAGACGTAAAATTTATCATCATTTCATATTTATAAAAATTACACTAGAAAATGTTACAAGTTAAACTATAAAATCATTATACCTTGAAGTACTCCTTGATGGGACCAGCTTCTTCAAAGTCAACATCAGTAACAGCAGCAATGGCCAACAAGTTCTTAAATCCATTAGCAATGCTGTGTGGAACACTTGCAATAGTAGGATAGCCAATTTCTAAACAAACTGCTGCCAGATTGGCAACTCCAGCCATGAACTTTTCACGAAGATCTTCTGGTTTGATATCAAGAATACTTGGATCAAAGATGGTTCCTGAATCATATACTTGTTGAACAATCAAACCATATGAGAATGGAGAAATGTTCAACATGTTCAGAAGTGTAGCTTCTGAAGCACCAACTTTGTCACCTTCTTTCAAGATGTTGACATCATTCTGAAATATAAATTAGAACATTAAAATATATTGTTAATACAAAATAACTTATTTTCCATATAATTCACACAACATACAGTTCTTACATTTTTTCACAAATTAATTTTGTAATTGAAACAATGAATTATTACATTGAATGTTGAAAAATACTTACAATAATTTCAATTGTTCCTTTGGAAATCTTGGTTGGGATACTCAAAGCCTGGAAGAAAGATGTTTTTTCAGGACCCAAACCAGTATTTTGTGCTGGGATGACAACACTCAAAGGAGCAATAGCTCCAGCTCTTGCAGGAGCGCGAACTTTGTTCTCCAAAAGTTTGTCTCTAACTTCAACAAGGTCTCCACGAGTAAAGACAAAACCAACATTGCCTTTGATGTGTGGCAATAATTTTTCCAAAGCTGCATTACGTTCAATATGACCACGAATGGCTTTCCTCATCATGGTATTTTTACCCATGAGAACAACAGCAGTGCCTCGCAGAGACATTCGAATCTGCTGCATCTGTTTTGATCCGACATTGTCAGCTCCAACAATGAAGCATTTTGGATACTCTTCCAAAAGTTGCTAAAAAAAGTAAACAAGTAACAATAAACATAATACAATTTTTTGTTATTTACATCATTTTGATGCTTACGATGAGTTTTTGGAAGTATCCTGCCTTCCAACTAGCTTTATCCTCTCTACCCATCTTTGTGATACGTAGAGCTTTAAGGACTGAAAGTAAACATATATTTATTTTTACTTTAAATATTATGCAAAATACGAACTTCAACGAGATATAAATAAAATCAGACTGCACGAAATGCTTTTTTCAACAGCAAAGCCGACGTCCAGATGGGTTCAGCTATTTCTAGCTTCTGAACGTTGATCAACTTTTTAGACATAAAATATATCATCATATTTTGTTAATTAATTACATCTTTTAACAATTGAAAATTTGTAGCTACGTAATGCGATAAATAATTAGAAAATATAAACGCGGGAGATTTTAGAACAAAACACGTGTCATCATAACCTCTAATTAGACGCTTTTTGTAAACGTCTCATCTAATACATAGTTAAATTGAATGTAATATTTCATTTAATATATCCAAAGATTTACTAAAGGTTTTAAATTTTTTTTGTTTAGTATGCAGACTATACATATAAAGATTAATATTGAAATTACATTGTTTCGTTAGAAACGATACCTACCTCAGCTAAAGATACAACTCCAAGAAATAGCAATTCAATTATACATAGATGTAAAACGGAAGAATAAAGATGGCGTCAAAATTAACTCTGTTTTACCAACGATAACGTCTGTAGCATTTTTCAAATTAATATTTTAGTATTTGAAATAATTTAGTCTTAAATATTTAATAATAATTTATATTATTCAATAACTTAAAAATACCTAATTACACGGTGAGGTAAGAAAATGTAAATTTTTATTTTATGTAAAGAATAATTATATTCTATATGGAATAACTATTTCACATTTTTTGCAGACAAGAATGAACATATGATTTTGATAATTAATATTTTCCTAATTTTCGCAATGATATAATCTAAAAACAATTTTTAAATGAAAAGTTTTAAATTAAAAATTTTTTTACACACTTCTCTAAAGTTAGCAATGCAAATCTTATTTCACTTTCATTTAAAACAGCAGAAATGCATATTCTCAAGCTTGGTCGAGGATACTCTCGTTCGGCATGCAAATATGCTGGAATAATTACAGCTAATTTATTTTCAAAACATTCATTGGAAATCTTTTCAAGTATAATTTGTTCTTCACTTTTATTGCAAATATTTCTCAAATATAGATGTTTCACAGGTGACACTGCATCACTGGGACATTCAAAAGCTTCTATGTTTTTTACACCTCTATCAAATAAAAGACAGTTTTCTTGTAGTTTTTTAAACAATTCTGGCTTGTTTTCCATGATGTCTAAAGAAGTAATAGCTGCTGAAGTTAATAAAGGTGGTAGTGAAGCTGAAAAACAGTAACCTAAGCCTGATAATCTTTGATGTTCAATAATAAATGATGATCCTACACAAAAACCACCAACAGAACTAACAGCCCACTCCAATGAACCTAAAATGTGATAATGTAATTTTTTATTATCATTATATTAAAATAATAAAACATAATTATATATTTTTCTTACCCATTATCATATCAATTTCATGACGACAGATATTGAAATACTCTGTAACACCATGCCCACTATTTCCAAGAGTACCAAAAGATATTGACTCATCAACAAAGATACGTAACTTATATTTTCTTGCCAATGCTACCAGCTCTGGCAAAGGACATATAGTTCCAGTATTCATGTAAATACCCTCAACAATTAAAAACTTTCTAGTTATTTCAACATTTTTAGAATTCTTTTTATTTAATCCATTCTGTGCCTTGATTAATCTTTCTAAGTCTTGTACATCGTTGTGTTTGAAATATTTTATGTTTGACCTAGATGCATCTAATCCTTTTTGTATAGAAAAATTAACTTTCTCATCGACAAATACTAAATCTTTTCTTTTACAATATGCTGGAATAGCTGATGCAATTGTACTAAACCCATAAGAATAAACAACTGCTTCTTCCATTTGCATGAACTCTGCTAATCTTTCTTCTAGCTCTAAATGTACGTCTACTGTTCCATAAAATCCTCGCGGTCCACATGATCCAACTCCATATTTTTTTATAGTTTCAATGGCTTTTTTTTCTATTTCATTATTTTCAATCAATCCTAAATAATTATGAGTTCCTAAATTTAAACATTCTTGGCCATCAATAGTGACTATTTTACCAATTCTAGATGTTATTTTCCTTGGGTTCAATGATGGATGATCCTTTGGAACATCAGTTATTAAAGGTTCTGGTCTCCATTGGTCTAATTTTCTATTAAATTCATCACTATTAGTAGAATTACGATTCGTTTGATATATTTTTTTTGCAAAAAACCATGCAAACCAAAATGCAACAAATGCTATTAAAACAGTGTGGTAGTGATGAATTGAATTCAATAAGTCCATCGATTCCAAAAATGCAAATTTTCCACTCATTTTTGTAAATTGTTTCTTCTACATAAATATGTTGCTCTTTATTTATTTAAATATTTAACCTATTCACTCACTGAAATAAATTATGTTGATTACTATATCGATATTTGAAAAATAATTGATTCTCTCACAAAATTCAGTTGTTACCTTATTATTAGTAACATCATTGCAAATCTACTTGTATTTAATTAAAAATATTTACAGCTCGTCAATAAAAATTAATTCTAATATAATTTATCCTTTTTCATGGGGTCGAAAAAAAACCGCGTGAACGTATAAAAAGCTATCCAAAATTCTACATTACCAACAGAGCATCAGTCATAACTTTATAATAACTCAAATAATAATAGCTAGAATCCAATAATTTATAATATTCACGAAACAGCATTTTATCATAAAACCACTGTCAATAGGTATATAGATCCAATGCAAAGGTTAAAATAGTTATTACCAATATATTAAAATTTAACGCAAATAAATGTCAGATAAACACTGTAAAACAATAGAAATATACATTTAACACCTATTAACCTTTCATTTTATTATTCAAGCAAAGCAATTGATTACATACATAAATTAATTGAATTCAGTTTAAATTATGTTTCAACTTCAAGACTATAAAATGGACTTGCATTATATAAACAATGCAAGGAAAAATGAAAAATCGCGCTATTAAAATTACAAAAAGCGCATGCGTTAATCACCACAACGATACGTTACATACAGTGTATACTACTACACTACACTGTACCAGCGATCAACAATAGTCAGTTGGTGGTTTAAGAGGAGGCGCCCCAAGCTTTGATTGTGTGCAACTGACAAACTATAGTTAGTCTGAGCCGTATGCGGTACCTATATATATATATATATATATATATATATATAGAGAGAGAGAGAGAGAGAGATATAGATATGTATGTATGTGTATGAAAGAGAGAGAGAGAGAGAGAGAGAGAGAGAAATCGAGCTAAGGAAAGCGGAGTAACGAACTAGCGACTCTGCATGCGCTAATGTCAGTTCGTCGGCGATTTTCAACTCGTTGAAAAGAGTTGGCTACGCGTTTTTGTCGCGATCAGTTTCATACGTTTCCCTATCGTATCCTCGATAATCGTTTGTGTGTCTAGTGTTGGCAGTTCCTGCTCTACCCTTGTCCGGGCGTTTCCTCGCTATCAACAACCACGGTGAGTACGTATACAAAGCAACGTAGCTCAAGCTGCATCACGTTCATTTTAATCATCGTTATCTTTGAGAACAAGAATGGATCATTAAAGTACTGGTTTTTTTTGACGAGGAGTCAAACTTACGAGGTACAGTGCTCAGTCACTGAACTCCTATCTCTTCACGTATACACTTTTGCGAAAACATTCGACGCCGGAGATTCGGCACTAGGTAGCCGCGTGCACGAATGAACGGACTTTTTTCACGCCTTTTTTGAAAGAACTTCTTTAAAAGGAGTTGCGGCAAGCCTGGTTTTTTACTGCTCTTGTTGATCATTGCTCGATTTGCAAGCCTCGTTCAGTTGAAGTAACGAGTGCACGATGTAGATTTTTATGCGTGAAAATGCACGCTGAGCTGCACAACTTTGTATTGCATAGGACAATCTGGGTAAAATGCAAGATTTGTTTTTATAAGGATTCTCTGTAACACTCATTAGCGTAAGTAACTCTTTCTGTGCTAAGCATAAGAGCCGTGTTGTTGAGAAAACAATGGATTTCCATGAACAATCCAGGGCATACTTGGTACAAGTAATTTAATGTAACACAAATAAATACGCGCGAACTACGTCCCCTGTAGTGCGCTTTCTGACTCACACCCGCTGCTATCTGCTACTAACACCTGGCCTGCCACATGACGTTATTTTCTCTTCTCTATCTCTCTCTTACAGATGATCAAACTGATGATTTCACGATCTGTTTTAAGCCGTTACGATCTCGAAGCGATTCCAAACATTTTTAACGTATGTACGTATTTATCGTACCTCATATCAGTCACTCGAGTTTTTTCAAATCTTTCATTCAATTTTTCTTTTTCTCCATCAATTCGTTTATTTTAATTTATCTTTCCTATTTTAAACTAATTTAAATTTGACTCTGAACATTAGGCGTTCTAAAGTCATCGCGATAACATAAAACATTCAATTTTCTGTCAAAAAAACACCTTAATATAGTTAGTCTTGTTTCTTAATCCAATTACTATTATACTGATGTAAAAATATATTTTTCTTACGTTTTATTACGTTCACTATAAATCGGCTATGTTAAATGTATTCGAGAATCTGTGCTTATATTATTTGCGATAGTTGTCCCAAAAAACAAGTTACTTTTATATAATAATTAACTCTAACGTAGTTAAAAGTTTATATATGAACGGAAATATTAAAACTAGTCCATGGTGATTCAAATATGTTTCAGAAACAAAATGTTGCAGCTAAATTAAAAATTATTTCTAGAGAAATGAGTACATATAAATTTCGTTAACAACTTTTGGCCAAGTATATTAGAAATAATTTAAAACACAGGTATACGAATTTACGTCTAAATTTAAACATTACAATGCAATTTCATTGAAGTTAAGGACGTTCTTTTGAAACAGTCGACGTAGAAAACTTATTTTCGTCGAAATTGTCGATTAATATAATTGCTCATGTTAAAAATTTATTATAATATGATTAAATTACAAATTTTTGTTGATTCCTTATGATCTTTAGAATAATATATTAGTTTTGTAAAAAAATCTAAAGAAAATTGAATTTTCCGTCGAACGAAAGGTACCGCAAAACGAACTTAGTTAGTTTATCTGACACGTGTTAAAAAAGTGAAATTTCAAGATGAATGTCTCTTTTTTATACACATTTTTTCTCGCTGTATAGGTAATGTAAAAAAGGGATTCTCGAAGGTATTTTCAAAGTTAAAGGAAAATTTAAGAAAAAGTGATTTTCAAGAGAATATCTTTAATGGTCTTGTTAATATCTACAGGGAATTAGGAAAAATTCATTGACCTACATAATGTGCATACAAATACAATGCATTTGCATGTTTAATTTTTAATGCTATCTAAACAATTATAGAGTGTAAATTTCAATGTCTAGCTTTAATAAATTATATTACTTTTTTCAAAATGGATATATATCATTAAGTTCACCATGGAAATATGATTTTGTATATTATATCATAATTTGATGTTAGCATAAGTGAAAATTATCTGGATTGTCTGAGTTTACTGGTATACCTTATATGATATTAGTAAAATCTTATTTTGCCAAGCAAAATTATCACGATTATGAATATAATAGTACTGACTTTTTTCAATAAAAATGTTAAAATAATATTTGGACTGAAAACGAAAAGGAAGTTGATAATGAAAAAGGAAGAAAAGGCGCTATGCCTGTTTGTTGGGGGGGGGGGGGGTGTAAAAAGAAGCGTCGGTATCGTCGTCACGATCGCATTGTCGCACAGGAAATTGCCGACTCTGGATTCTGTCTGTGCTAGCTGGCACACAGAGAAAATCCATCCGACGAAAAGCCGCATCTGCGCGATGGGGGTAGGTATAAAGTAAGCAAAGGAAAAAAAGGAAAAAAAAGGAAGGAAAAGCAAAAGAGTGGCGCGAAAGCGCGTGCACGCAGCAATGGTGGAGCGGCCGAGGGTCGGGCCGGCCGTCGCTCGAGGGAGCCTTGTCCCGGCGCCGCTGAACGCAGACGCGGACGCAGACGCGGACGCAGTCGCAGAATCGCCTCGTCTCGCGTTCTCTCTCGCTCTCGCGCTCGCCGTCAGCTGGCAGAGCAGCAACGCGAGCAGCACACAGCATCCCTCGACTGGCGCGGCTGGCGAGGGATAGAGGCGTGGCGCCACCGCCACATCGGCCAGTTCGTGCGCAAGGGAAGTCGTTGTGCAGCTGCCAGCCCGTGCAGTCCACTCGTCGAGGGCTGCTGCCGCAGAGAGCCGCTGGAGCCGCGGACTTGCGGATCGAGGAGCCAGCCTGCGAGGGGCAGACTGCAGAGGAGGTGAGAGCGAGGCGAACGAGGAAGAGGAGAGCGAGGGAGCAGCCGCGCGCGCACTCGCAGCAGGGCGGCCGCAGGCTCGTCCGCTCGTTCGATTGATGCGCGTGCGGAGTCTGCCGCTGATGCCGTCAGAGTGGCGCGCGTCCTCGCGGCTCCACGAGGACCACCGGAGCCTGCCACTGCCCCGTTACGCCCCGTCGTAGATCCGACTCAGCGAGCCCGCGAGCCTCTACGGCTTATCGATTGACCGAGGCTCGATTGTTCATCACCGCGAGCGGCCCGGGAAGCTCGAGCGCCATTCATCTGGCTGTTGGTCTCTCTCGCGCATGGATGGCTTGTTCGCGCCCGACACCCCTCCATCTTCATCACGGCCTCTTATTCGCCACCGGCAGCAGACGCAACACCTCGAGTAGCCCGACGAGGATGCTCTACCGCGCTACTGCTACTGCTGATCGCCTAACCAGGCTGCACGCTCTTCGCACTATCTCCTCGACACAAGTTACCTTTGTCACGTGAATCATCGACTCACCTCGACCTCGACTCGCCCACTTCGAACGCAGTCTCTCTTCGGAATTTATACATCCATGTGACACCCTTACAACCTTGTGTGGCTGGCTGGCTCTTTTGTACATTTTTCTTGTTATCCGTTCAGATCAATTCTGAGCCGCCTAACTTTATAAAAAAGGCATATATATATATACATATTATATATATATATATATATATATAGATAGATAGACAGATAGATATATATAAACGTATTTTATAAATAGTTCGATATATCTCAACTCGAGGCTCTAATCTATCGTACAAGTGCTGGGAAGAAACATAAACGAAGAGAGAAAATTATATGTACGCATATATCTATACCTACGTACACTCGCGCGCGCGCACACGCACAAACATATATATTCGACGTTATTTCATCTGTAACTATGTCGCGTGTGAGTAGAAAGCAATTGTTCTGCGTGTGATAAGATTATCACGCTGCGAGGAGTCGTTGGAAATAATAGCGAATTGTATAATTAGAAGCTGTAAGGATTAGCATAATTGGAAAAAAAGGGACTGAAGAAAGATAGTAGAAAGAAATGTTCAAGTGCTGCGTGTGCCACGGTAAGACATCGAGGCGTACGAGTCAAGAAGAGGACGACGATGATTCGTCAAGAGAATCATCTTCCTCCTCCACCTCCTCCTCCTCCTCGCCATCGAGCTCCGGAGAGGAGGACGAGGACGAGGAAGAGAGGCAAATCGAGGAGGAGCTCGCCAAGAAATTCAAGTGCCAAAATCCAAACACTCGAGAGCCCCTTGTCGCGGGGGGAATAGACACCGTTAAGGAGGAAGACGAGGAAGACGAGGAGGAAGAGGAGAAGCAGGAGGAGAACGAGCGTTCCAGTGCTACTGGGAAAGTGGTGGTCGAGGTGAACGGCGACGTGAGGGGCTTACGGGAAGACGCGATGCGGAAGAGCGTCGACCGGGAGGCCATACGGGAAGACGTGGTGGAGATTCTGAATAGCGCGGTTAAAATCGTGCGCGAGAGACTGGAGAAGATCAAGGAGGAGACACCGGAGGATAATTCTGTGGAAGAAAGTCTGCCAGCGACAGCAGTAACAGCGGCCGGCATCGTCGAATCAGCCAGCGGCGAGGAAATTGATAGGGGGGCAAGCAGCGCAACAGTGGAATCGGAAAAATCGAAGAGCGACGAGAGCGAGGAAGAGGTCGTCACGGTTGTCGAAGAGGACGGAGTGTCAGCGGAGGTTCCAGGCGAGCAGGGCCAGCTACCGGCCGAGCACGAAATCACAGAGGAAATCAAGAAAGAAGGCCTGGGTCTCGATCTTGAGAAGACCCATCAGATCGAGGAAATGATAATCGAGGAGCTGATCGACGCTCTTAACGAGGAAGCCGACAACGACCAGGAGCTCAAGGAAATTATGGAGAGCGCGACGACGAATGAGCAACCCATCCAACCGAGCAACGAAGAAGCTGCAATTGCAGACCATCCAGTCACTGAAAGTAGGTCCGATCCAGCGAAGCCTGTCCAAGAAGAGGCGCAACACCAGGTGGAAGACGAGCTCCTCCCGCCGCCACCATATCCCGAACTCGAGATCGTCGAGCAGACAAAAAAGAGCGACGCGAGCGTTAGTCCGGTCGAATGCGACGCGGCCCAGGCGGAGGTGCAGCAGACCGTCTGTCCGAGCGAGGAGACGCCGTGCGAGCTGACGAACGGCGACCTACTGAATATCCCGCCGCCGATCAGTCCGCCACCCGAGGACAAGGACCGCAGCAGCTCCGAGATGAGCTTCCCCACGCCACCGCCCATCGACTTCGACATCGCCGAGACCGACCAGGAGGACAGCGAGCCCGAGTCCGAGCTTACCAAGAAGAGGACGCCGTCGCCGTGCAAGGCTCCGCCGCCCGCCCCGCCGTCCTGGGACGAGGAGGTTACACCGCCCAACGAGACGGCTCAGCAGACGAGACGCCTTTCCAAGACTTCCTCGCCGGGTAGCAAGAGTCTGCCGAGTCCGCCGTCGCCCGGTAGCGACGCCGGCAACGAGACCGAGGCCTGTAGCTCGTCCAAGAGCAGCAGCGACGAGCAGACCACCACCAAGCTCGTCCCGAGCCTCTCCAAGGCGACCTACGCACAGCGCACCATCGACGACGACGACGGCGACGACTCGGTCTTCGAGACTGTCTCCCTCGCCAAGGATCCCGAAGTCGTCCCCGAGGACATTCCACCGCGTCCAGGTATCCCCAATCCCTCTATTCTCTTATTCGCAACGAACAAGCTCACTGCGTCCATGTTCTTTTTTCTCTCGTAGAAGCCAACTTTGGCTTGCTAAACAAAAAGTCCTTAATGCGGTCGCTGTGTAAGCCCCGTATAAAACTTGCTAGGCCGAATGAACGTCAATATTTGATTAGCCGGATGGGTGCGTTCGCGGTCGGCAGCTAATGAAGCAAATGCATCTTCCAGTCAGCAAATGTTTGTGCTCTGCATTCAAAATTCATTGGTTGAGCAGCGCGATGCGCTTTTTCAACGTGCTCGCACTCCAAGCTGCAGTATCAAAATCAAATAAGTAAATTTTCACGCGGCGATAATTAAATGCTCTTGTAATTATAAAGGTCTCGATGCGGCGTTGCTTGCTACTTGAAACAAATACGTAACTGTGTACCCAGATGAAACTTTGACATAAATTCGATTTAGTTGACAATGAGTTTGTCAATAAAGCAAGCGCGCTAAATACACCGGCAAACATGAACTTTAATTACCCTAGTGACTCATGACCGTAACTAAAACTTATCGAACTTCCGCTCTAGTCAAATAAGTTGAACGAAACGTTGGCAGCTTAAAGCGATACTTCGAAATAAAGGACTTTCTTCGCAACAATTCACTTGGTCCAAGAAACATTTATTGATCCATTTGACTTGATACATTCGAAAGCTGTCTGTTTCGTGCATTATGAATTTCTGAGCCAATTTCACGATTGCACTTGAATAAATTATACGCTCCAGTTTTTTCGTGTCATTCTTCAACAAAATTTATCGACTTATAAAATATCTTAAGATGAACAACTTGTCTTTTGAATAGCAAACACACCTTAATTAGTCATCCGTCACTCAACATTCTTATTGATACCAATGCGCATTTAGAGCTGCAGAAAAGTCCATCTTAACTTGCTCTCGAAAAGTTGTTGAAAAATAAAAATTTACTTGCAAGAACTGTGTGTGTTAAGCTAAAATGTTAGACTCTTCAACAGACTTTTAACTAAACTCAAGCAGACTGTACAAAGGAAAATTTTTTAAAAAAGATTCAATTCATCTTTACTAGAGCGTAAAAGATTTCTCTTTTAAAGTTGTTTCGTGCAGAGCATATTTAAAAATTTGCGTAGCTTTACTTTGCTTTAAACGGAAAGATCTAAGCACTCTTTACTCGAAAAGATAATTGACATCTGAATTACGGTTGCTTATTTCACGGAAAAATGGGATGATTGTTTCTAGATAATGCCATGGAATTGACTCGCAGATTTGGTCTTGAATAAGAATCAAATTTATGCTATCTAACAAGAAGTCATTTGTTAACGTTATTTTATCGAGGCACTAGCCATTCCGAATAATTGGCAATATATAAGTTATTGATATGAGTTCCGACATGTGTGTAAATAGATATATTTGCTTAGCACTCACCACACATAAATATATGTGTGTATGCGCGCGCGCGTGTGTGTGTGTGTGTGTGTGTGTGTGAGTACACGTAAATGCGTATGCGCGTGACATCAAATGCAAACGGATAGAGATAAAGCCGTCGGAAAAGAATGCAAGAGAGAGAAAGATGAAGAGATGAAAAGTAGCGTGTGTGTGCTTGTGTCCCTCACAGTACCGCCGGTGCCCCGATGGCTGTCCCAAGAAGAAGAGGATCCAGAGAGCCACGGCTCGGAGGTGTTAGGTGGGATGCAGGAGCCACCGGCAACTCCGGTCGCCCGGGACGAGCTCGCGCTGCGTCGACACCGCTTCTTCTCGGACCTGCTGCAAGCGGCGCGTAGCACAGCCGAGCATCGAGTCAGCTTCGACCCCCTGGGACCCATGGTGCATCCCGGTCAGCTACAATCCCTCCCCAGCTTTTTTTTCCTTTTTAATGTCGTGTGCCATTTGTCGCTCAGTGTGTAATGCTCTTTCCCAGCGCGCGCACATATCTCCAGGGACGAGGAGCTAGTTGACCCGTGTAATCGGACCAAATTCACCGGTAATAAACCACTTAGACGATCTATCGTCCTCACCAAGTGGTAAAACTTTTCGTCAAAGGAAGAAGGGCTCTTTGATTTAATTTGCATGTTGACACGTCGAAAATCTGTCTTTACTGGCAGCACAATATGATTCTGATCGGATGTCGTCTCTATCTCATTCGCAGGAAGTGCATTTTACAAACGGCAAATGTTTCTGTAAATAGCTTAACGCCTTAAACGCTCGTTTGCTCTACTGAAAAAACTCTGTAATACAAATATTCGCGACGATTGTCCGAGCTAGAAGTCATTCTAATTATCGATTATTTTATTTCGGTGCTTATGCAATCACATTAACCTACTGACAGGAAATATCGATTGGCTTTTGTCAGCGTCATTTCTAAATTGTTCATCGCGAGCTCTTTCTCTCTGGACACTGAAAACCTTCTACTGCATAAGTTGCGGCAAGCAGTGTCATTACTGACAATGCTGATTAGCTTGATTGCCGAGAGCTTACGATACTCGCTATCCCGGCTCATTAGCACAGACAGAGAAAATATTCACTAGCGAATCTTTCATTCCGCGCGCGCGGCAAAGAAACACCATCCAAGCGCGCTCTCTCCCTCTAATAATAGAACGCTACTCTCTTTCCACTTTTCCGAGAGCTCGTGTCGCTCGAACTACCTGCTTTTGTCTGCCGCTGCGCACCGGCTGCTTCAACTTACTTGGAGTGTCTCAAGTCAAGTCGCGTATTTGCGCGACAACCATGAAGCAATACCGGACGAACGAAGACAACTATTTGCCGACGCGTGTTGACTCGGTTGTTGATAACGCGTCGTATTATTCATTATTTTCGTAAAAAGATCCAGGCTTGTACAGAAAATTGATCAATGCTTCATTTCAAGTAAAGTAGCGCTTACGTGAGGAACTCAATTGTAATTAACGGGTACATATCTTATCGATAAACGGATATGAACGATGACCTCCTCCCACCATATACTTACTCAAAGTTAAACTCTCGAAAATATCATTGTTTACGAAAATCATATTTTTAACGCAACGCGGATGTAACAATTATTTTCGATTCATGCTTACGGTTATTGTTTGCGAGACTAAAATATACAAAATAAAGAAACAAATACGATCTTTCGAAAAGAAAACCTCGATGATAATTTAGCAGCTGACTATTGGCTTCTCCAATGCGCGAGAAGGGATAAAGCCGCGCTGCTAATTTTTCGCATGACGTGAACTCTTCTCACGCAGTGGTTTCTATATGTCAATGTTACACCGTAGCATATATATATATATATATATATATATATATATATATATATATATATATATTGTGCTATATTTATATTGGCCTGGCTTTGATTCGAAAATTTCGTCATTCTTAACCCCACCACTTGTGTGTAGAAGTTGGTTTCTCGTTTATTCTTTTTACACAATTTTCGTAGCTTCTCGTCATAATATTATACCTGGACAGTTCAAGATATATACAGTGCGGTAGGATTCTCCGGTGCTCAAGATTACATTTGTTTTCGATCTATATCCGTAGGTAAACCAATATCTAATTGACTGTTATCTCGTTGCCGTCACGATTGTCTGTAGATCTGTAATTACAGTATCACGATTGAATTGCGCCCCTCGATGTGCGACTCTATCTGTTTATTGTTGCGCAACGAAAGCAATTTCGCGTGACCGTTACTTTAATTCAATTTTTATTTTTCGAAAAGGCGATGTACAACAAGTTCCGTTCTCGTGCACGTTACATTTAATCAAATTATACTGATTGTCGCGAATATGTGTTGAATATTTCTTCGGATGTAGAAAATCTCTAACGACTAGTATTGTTTGTTGGTCGGCAGGCTGCGAACACGACGACCGCGAGGAGCACTTGGAGGAGCTTGTGAACCGGCTAGAAAACGTGACGAAACGTCTAGAACAAGTGTCGGTGCCGCAGATTGCAGCTGTGCAGACTCAAGAGATCGCCGTTCAGACAAAGTCACCGTCTCCCGAGCGTTCACTATCCATTACCGAGGAGATCTCGCAGTCTTCGTCGTCGAGCTCGCGATCCACCGTATCGGGTGCTTCCGTTGTCGAAGTCGTTAAAAGCATGTCTGTTGCGAGTTACGAGAATCTCCTAGCCGGTCCGGTCCAGGAATACATTCAGCTTAGCCAGCAGATTGGCGGCGATGTCGCTGCCCACGCCAAAATCGTCGACAAGGCCTTCCAGTAAGTAATACTTTCTTTTGCAAGCATCGCAATCGTACGCACTGCACTTTGTGCATAATATATATACTTTCACGGGAGAAAGGAAAGCTTGATGGCTATGAAAGTTTGTATAATTGAAACTTTCTCAGCAGTTGCATTTACATCGTATAGAAAACTCAATTGGACGCTTTAATTGCAAAGACGCACGCAAACTATTTTCAAGCTAAATAAGTTACACGTAGAAAAGTGGCTCGTTAATGTATTCGTATATTATGTAGTTGTAAAAGCACTTATTTGTCAATAATTACTGAGATTATTTTTCAACTTCAACAGGATTCAACTGGAATTTTTAAGAACCGCGGCGTCACGACCAGCCCCAGCGAATCAATCAGAGCAGATGTCTCTGCTTATCCCGACTTCAAGGCAAATTCAAGAAATCCAAGAATTTCGCGAGAAACATAGAGGCTCGCCATTCTTCAACCATTTGTCGGCCATAAGTGAAAGTATACCCGCCCTTGGCTGGGTAGCAGTAACTCCAACTCCCGCGCCCTACGTCAAGGAAATGAACGATGCTGGCCAGTTTTACACCAATCGCGTGCTCAAAGATTGGAAAGAAAAGTTAGTTGTTTTCCAGCAATAGGCTCTCTATAATTGAAAAATTAGATAACAATCCGCGTCGCTGTTTCGTCAACATTTCCATAATAAGTGCTCTTGACTATGACGTAATTTCGAAATATTGACATCCCTTACCCATGTCAAAGCTAATATATTGTTTTCAAGCTGACATGTCGAGTGACAAATAGACTTTGTACTAAAATCGATGAACGCTCGGGGCAGTGATGTAATAACAAGATTTTCACAATTGAATTAATCATTTTTAGAGACAAGACACACGTAGAGTGGTGCAAGACTTGGGTGAAAACGCTCACGGATCTCCAGCAGTTTGTCCGACAGCATCATACAACGGGATTGGTCTGGGCAAAAACTGGATCAGTACCAGCTGGAGGTGTGCCACCTCCACCTCCACCATGCATGATGCCTATGGCTGACCCGGCTCCAGCCGTCGGCGACGATAGAAGCGCGCTCTTCGCCGAAATTAATCAGGGCGAGAATATTACCAAACGTGAGTATTTCCACCCCGCTCCCTCGTACACATCAATGACACATTGCTAGTTGATGAGCAATCCTTTTAAATCGGACTTTCCTATTATGTTACAAGCAGCCGTGGAATCATAGAAAATCAGCTTTATCACATAAAAATAAGTACTACATGTTATCAACTCTGCTGGAAACATTATTATTATACTTAATACGTAAATTTTATCAATATATATTTCATCACCCTCATTTCAATTGGTTTGCATCGCTTCTCAATTTTCCAAATATGCAAACGACCATCAACTTGTTCAGCATGTTCAATGTTGTTATTAATTCTCATTTCAACACTTTGTTGGCTAATCTTAACGCACTATATATCCTATAATATATGTTGTTCGATATTAGTTGATTGGTTATTATTGAGTTTTCACTAGAAAAAATATATATGTGACAATTATTAATTGAAGAAAGACTATATAAATAATTCGGATTATATGCTCAAATTGAGTAATATTTCAAAATATGAAAATTAAAGGATGTAGAATTATATTTATGAAACACACATTTTATAGATACTGGTAAATAAGTTGTTGAATTTTATATATATATATATATATATACATATAATATATGTATACATGTGTGTGTGTATACAAATTATAATCTGTAGATTATTTATGAAATGATAATCAGATTGAATAAATGCATAGAGAATATTATTCGCATCATTATCCTATATTCATTGATCGCAAAAACGAATGCTGTTTCATATTAGGTATTGTTTCATAACATATTATCACTAGAAATCATTTTCATCATCATCGCATGTATAGAATTACTAATTCCTAATTATTGATTACAGATTTAAAAAAAGTAACTTCAGATATGCAAACGCATAAGAATGCTAGTTTAAGGACGGGACCAGCCCCATTTAAAGCTCCGGTAGTCAGTAATTCAGGTACCCCCGGCAAAACCACACTTCCGGCTAATGCACCTATTGATAAGCCACCGGTTTTCACTCGTGACGGCAAAAAATGGCTAGTGGTATGTTTATGAATTCAACTGCCATTCTCTTTTTAATAATAATTATGATTATGTTAATTATTAATATACGTCTCGTAGGAATATCAAAAGGGAAATAAAAATCTTCTGGTTGAAAATGCTGAAATGAATAATGTTGTCTACATGTTCCGTTGCCAGGACAGTAATTTAGTAGTTAAAGGAAAAATTAATTCTGTTGTAATTGACTCTTGCCGTAAGTGTGCGGTCGTCTTTGACTCAGTTGTGGCGAGTGTGGAATTCGTCAATTGTCAAAGTGTTCAGATGCAAGTAAGTGTGCAAAATACAAATTTATTCAATTTCTTGTACAAATGTACAAACTGTAAATAATTGTATATCAAATAATGATCGTAAAACCAATTTAAGAGGACATTGTAAATTATATAATTGAAATCTCAGTTACAATTTCTATCCACTGTCGAGTAATTTATTGCACAAATCATGAGTATTTGTTGATTGATCGCAATTTGAATCTTCATCAAACATTTGCAAATACCTTATGCATTCTTCTTTAGTTAATTCATCCGATATTTCAAAAATTTTCAAATCGTTCATCTTATTAACTTCGTCAAAATGATATACGCATGGAAAGTTTGTCATTGATGTACTTATATCCAATGTAGAAGGCTTTACCAACACTTCAGTTTCTTTTCTTTCAATTTGGTAAGGTGAAATGGGAGGAATAAAATTTTGAAATATAATAGAATTTAGAGGATTAAGTTCTGATAATTTCTCAGGTAATTTACAAGTCATAGTTTCATTTATAGTGTTTGGTGTAGCCAATGCCGTATCAATCGCTCTACTACTCACAACATTCTCTGCGATGATTAGTTCTTGAATTGGCATGTTCGACGAATCGTTTTGATTCATATTATTTGAAACGTGTTGATCCTCAGATACTAAATTGTAGTATATTATTGCATTTTGCTCAATATTTTTTAAAGTATCTAATTTGGAAAATTTTGTAAATTGTTCTGAAAGTGGTTTTTCTTCGCTAATTAGCAGACTATCAATTTTGTCTATATCAGTTTCCACTTGATTAATCAAATCTTGAGCTTTATTTTGCGATGAATTTATAGTTGATATTTTAGTTGGTTTTGGGCTGTACAAGAGAATTTTCCCGAGATTCTTTTGATGAGCTACACTATTGTTGATTATAGAAATACAAGATTTCGATGATGGATACCTACGTGGTATTAACGAAAGAGAGGTTGCCTTTTTGATACAATTCTTCATTGTTATATCCGTCACTTCTGGACTAGAGTAGTCTGTTTTTAACTTCATTTGGCCACCTTTCAATGAAATTGACTTTGAGATGGGGATCAACGATGATATACTGAAAAATGATTCAGATGATTTAGTTTTTTTAATATCTACGTCATTGTTAAAATTACTCTTTGTGCTAAACACTTTTATAGATGTTAATTGACTCGAGAATGATGTTTCTAAGAAATCTTTCTTTTCAACTTTAGATATATCTGTGAGTCCTCGAGGATCGGTATAAGATTTTGATCTTCTGTGAGTTAACTTCAAATGACATTTGTCGACTGCAGTTACACTTAAATTACTTTTCGCTCTAGATGGTTTCCAAATATTACAGCCAAGCTTTTCAGCATTGCTAAAACTAATTGAATCAAAAGTTTTATCTGCTTCTTTGGACGTTTGCAATGTGTTATTTTGTCTCGTGCTACTTAATTGATTTTTGATTAATTTTTCATTTACAGAACTGTCAGAGTAGATGCAATGTTTATTGATAGATGAATTGGCATTATTTTTCAATAACGGCTCATCTATCTCGTTTATTTCAGAATTTTGAAATTTTATTTTTGGAATTGAAACATACTTTAAAAAATTATCAACATTCGTATTAATTTCTGAAGAATGGTAATTTTCGTTATCATTAAAGTCATGTATCGAATCATTAAATTTCTTTGGAACAACCGCAATTTCTTTTAAACATTCCATTCGAGAAGCATCATCGTTGAGTATGTCATTATACTTTGTGTCTTTTATAGGGTCGTTATAATTAACCGTTGGGTGAGTTGATTTAATTAGAGGATTTGTCAATTTAACATCATTAGAGTTTTTAGAATCATACAGCGAACCATTCGTCGTTGTTTTTTCAAATTTTGATAATTTGTTAATCTTCAATTTTCTTTCATTTTCAATCAATTTATTAATTAACTTGTTAACACTAACGTCACTTGAGGATCTTGTTAGGCTAATTAAATCTTCACTCGACTTCGCTTCGACGGTTGTATCATTATTTGTTTGTTTACAAATATTTGAGCTGTCTTGATCATTGCATAAAAAAGCCGTGGAAAAACTTGAAGAAAATATTCTGTTACTAGATGATTCACCGTTAAAGGATTTATTATTGATTTTAGACGGAGAATTCAAGTCTCTTAGACATCTGTTTCTTTCATCCATGATTATTTCAACACTAGATGAAGTAGTTTTTATATGTGATCGTTTATTCTTTTCATTAAGAGGTATTATTTTATCTTGTGAAATGTTGTTATCTTCTAAAATGTTGTAATCATTAGTAAAACCTTTTCTCCCTATACGACTACTTGTACTCGACTCTTCTGTAATCATATCGAGAAATTTAGATTCAAACATCGCATTATCTTGTTTTAAGCTCGTATCACTACTTGTTTCAGTGCAGTTTGAATCATAATCTTTTTTCACGTTAATGCTATCATCTTGCAATTCAACTTTTGATAAAATCTGTGTTTTTAATTTCGAAGTTTCTCGAAGTAATGCAGACGTTAAATTGTCTAATGGCTCTACTATTTGTAAATCTTCAATTTTGTCTTTGAAAGTATTTATAGAGTTACTCGACTTGATCGAATGTAACTCCAATATTTGACGATGCGTATCCATTTTATCCCTTTGGTTGTCGAAATTTCCAAAATTTTCATTATTTTTTGAGCTGAATTGCAAAGATCGATCACATGTTTTTTCTGAGCTATAATAGTTTGTATGATTACCGTTAATTTTAGATTCAATCGTAAATGAAGGGCTTTCGTAAGCAACTGCTTTTGTACTATTTGAATTTTCAAAAATATTCTGTATAATATTTTTCGAGGATTCATTCGAATCATCTAATGCCCACATTTTCTCATTACTTTTATCTTGTGCGCACAATATTGCTTGTGATGGATCAACAGGATTTGCATGCGAATTGAGCTTGAATATGGGTAGCTCAGAATTCTGTGTATTGTAATTATGTATAGTCTTATAAAGAGTTTCCAATTTTTCCTGTACGCCTAATAACGTATCATGCGATTTACTGAAAAATTGATTATTTTTACTTGAAATTTTGAAAGTGTCGCCTTGAAACTTGGTAAAAGTTTTTGAATTAACTGTCATATTGGTTGTCGATACAACAGTTTTAATTTTTTTGTTGCTGGTAGTTCTTTTTGGTCCTAATGTGGCGTTACTTAAAGCCATTGATTGCCGACGCGATGAATTATTATTACAGCCAGCATGTTTCTAAAGAGATAGACTCTAATATGTATGGAATTGAAGTACATTATGAAAATAATTGTTATAATTTATCGGTACCTTCGTATATGAACGATAGTTCATCGAACAATCACTGAAATTACTTTCTGGAGGCACAATAAGCCAATTGATTCGGCTTGCATCTAAACATTGCAATGGCTCGTCTAAATTACTGTCAACATTGTTTTGATACTCTGAATTATAATTGAATGTAGCATCATTTTGCGCATCACTAAAATATAACAATAAATATTATTGTTTCTAAAAGCAATGAACGTAATAAACAATGAATCTACTGTAAATAACTTACATAGTTGGACAATACTGTTCTTGGCTAAGTAATTTATTGTCATTGTCGAGTGGCAGAAAATTAGTTTTATCAATGTCGGAACATTTTCGCATATTTTTTTGCATAACAGAATACTTTTCCAAAAAACATTTGTTCTCATTAGCCCTAAAAGACAAAAAAATCCAATAAATGGTAATTTCAATTAGACTTAATGGAAATTATATTGACCCCGACAATATATTTTTGATCCATGAGTTTTCTAACGTGAATTTTGAGAGTCCAAATTGGAAATGTTTAAGATTTGCTAAAGTATTTTTCTCTTGAAGATATTGCAACGGCCAAATACCGTATTGCGTTTTGTACGTTACAATATCAACTTTTAGTTCAAGATCTTGTATCTTGTGATTTACTGTCGTGAATCTTTCTTGATTTCTGTTCACTTCTCCTTTCCATTGCGATTTCCAATAGACGAAATACGCAATCGTTGTAAGAGTCAACAATAATGTTAAAGCCTTCAATTCAAAGAAATTATTAAGTTCATGTTTGAATATTTAATGTACAATTATTGTTTTCCTAACCCTCCAAATTACTTCTTCATTGGCTAAACAATCTACAACGTCTGTTACTACTTCGAACCAAATATATCTGATAAAAGACATAACACAATTTGTCCATTCGCTGTTTTGACAAGTGGTCGCTACTGGTTTAAAATTTCCACCTGAATGAGTTGTTGGTTTATTTATACAATTAGTTTACAGCTATTTTTTGATGGTTAAGTGTATTGGTAGGTGTTTCTTACCAAATTTCCAATACATTATTTGATAATCCACTATCGCGCAACATAAATTTATAAACGTTTATCAACACGTGATCTTCGTATCAACAATAAAAATCTAACTTTTTATTCAATGGTGCATTTTTGCAGTGCCCTCAAGTCGGCAAATAAATATTTACCATACTAGTTTTCACGGTTTTCGAAAAATCTCGCTGAAGTTAACAACGCAATAAATATCATAAAAGAACATTCTACTATTGAGTAGCGAATTCGATCTTACCAACCTTTGCATATTGAAATTTATAAACTGAATTGTTAATTTATATCTTTGTTTACAGGTGCTTGGAAAAGTTCCGACAATTTCTGTTGACAAGACTGATGGATGTCAAATGTATCTGAACAAAGATACTTTAGATGTTGAACTGATTACTAGCAAATCCAGCGAGATGAATGTCATGGTGCCCGTAGGAAACGGAGATTACGTAAGTTATCATAAATATTTTACAATTGATTTATTTAAAAAATCAATAATAGATCAAGATATACAAATTTCTACTCACATGCGGTAGTGAATAATTTATTTCTTGAAAATTAAAAAGCATTTTCTATCAACTAATCGTGTTCAACTTTGACAATCATACTCATCAATTTTTTCTTTTTATTTCAGACTGAATATCCAGTACCCGAACAATTCAAAACCGTCATAACTCCAAAAGGGCTTAATACAGTTGCTGTTGATTCACTGGGATAAATACAGTCATTCTATTAATTAGAGTATCTCAGCTTTCGAACTATTTTATCGTGTACTAAAAACAATTATTTTTCATTGTTTATTTATTTTTAATCACAGAAAAATATAAATGCATGATTTTTAATAATTTTTTTAATAATTTTAATATAACTAACTTTTATTGAAATCTGAGAAATTCATTTTATTCGTATTAAAAAATATTTGTTTTTGTGAAATTTAATATCGTTTGCTGAGCTCACGTAAGATAAAAATTCTAAAAATCTTAAAATATTCAAAAATACTCGTATCAAAAATGTGAGACTATGAATGTAGAATCATGTGGTTAAAAATATAGCAATTTCTAAATACCATTGATAGCCGTTTGAATAAAAAAGTTCCGAGTCTGTTTATCTGCACTTTTATACAGTATACATTTACAGTTTTGTAAAATGACTTTGAACATTTTGTCGGGGAATTGAAAGTTTATATGCCTAGGAATATGAATTGTAAGGTAAAATGAGGTAATTATAAAAAGTATCTGAAGAGCTACCTAAACGTTTGAATTTCGAAGGTGCAGTGAATAATATGACTTCTTAACACACGCTATTCCTAAATATCTATAATTTAGCGTTGCTATAAAAAGTTGCCTAAGACTATATAAAAGACTAATTAGAAAAGTACATAAAAATGTACTATGATCAGTAGCAATATTGGTTCAAAATGAAAAGTCTGTACAAAACATTAGAATCAGTTTGTGCTCTGAAATTTATAAAATAAATTATTGAACTAATTAGTATCTTTCTGTTGATTATTGTTTCAAAGACTAACTCTTCACTGACATAAAAGAAAAATAACTAAAATTCAAAAATATTAATTCCTTCCCAACAAGAAAAACAATGTTCTCTTTTGATCTCTTAATAAAAACGATGAAATCAAAAATATCAAAATAGTTTGATACTTATTTCTGTAATTCCTTTTTTATATCATAAAATAGTGCTTCATATACATTGCACCCTCCTTCTACTATATGTTAAATTTAAAGACACAGAAAAACAAAGAATTATAATTTAAAGATTTTATTCTATAATGGTATAAATTGTGACGCAATCATAAGCGCAGCCTGCTGTAATCTTTATCTCTCTTTTTCACTCTGTTTCAAAATTTTTTTATCGAGCCGATGATTTTACAGTTTATCAAACGACAAATTTTAATTAAAGTCGTACATTTTACTTTTTGATGATGCCCACAATTTTTAGCTGCTGATCATTGATGACATGATTTTCTGACAATGATTACAGTAATACTTACATTTTATGATATTCAATTCAGTAATTTATAATTTGAAAGATCAATAATAAGTATGAATGAGTAAATAAATCAACGCGAATTTTATAACTTTATAAACGCATTCTTATGATCTACTATATATAAAGCTATCTTAAACACTTTCTTTCATGATTTACATTTTGAACGGTTGCGTCAAGGATCCCAGAAATACCGCTTAATTGTACAACTTACGGGATTAATTTTTCTTTGAATATATAACAATTTTTTTTATTATTTTGTTTCTTTTTAATGTAACTATTTGTTCAATTATATTATTTAATGTCCAGAATCCTCATATCCTCAAAACAGAACGATCATTTGTAAGGAAAGTGAAATAAGCATGTCGCGCAGTGTTTGATTTTACAAAAAGATTCTAACAAAAAATATCAAGTAAAACATAACAATTAATGTAGCGTAGCTCTTCGATAAAAAATATTATTTGAATAAATATTGAATAATAATAAAAAATTAAAACCAGGAAATTCAACGTATTTGTGAATTTTTCAAAAATTATGTAATCAGTTCAACTAATAATTAATGCGGAATGTAAGAATATTATGAATCCGAAAGATAATTTTAGAAAATGTAGCATTAGCTTATAGTATATTGCAATTCTATTTAACGAGAGCAACATTGAGAAAATATATAAATTATTTGCGATCCCGAGCACGATGGAAGTCAAGCGATATTAAAAATTTATTGATGTTCGGTGCCACTAAAATAGTTGGTCGACATTCTAAACAGGTTGTCAATAGGGTTGTGTATGGCCGAGTGAAGACTTTGAGATAGAGATGACATTTCAGGACCGGGCCCACCAGGTCCGCCGCTCGAATGATGAGAGTGCGAACCACCTTGGTGACTTCCATCTGGACCACCATTATTTTCGCTTTCACCCAACTCGAAACCCGCTTCTGTACCGTCGATTGATATGTCGCTACTGCAATAGCTATCACCGGAATGACCCGGATATGCGTCTGAAAATAAAATAGGTCATGAACTTAAAATTATTTATATCGAATCTCAGAGACATGTTACATTTTTTAAATTATCTCAAGAAACATTGGGAAAAAAAGAAAAGAAAGAATGCCGATATTGTAGGTATTTTCAGCCCCTATTTGTCAACCCCCTCTAGAGTTTAGATACCAAAGCATCTTTCCGTGGGGCTACTCCAGCGGTTAGTCTATAGTCAAAAGAGCGCATCTTTGTGTAAACATTATCTTAGCATTCCTTTTGATTATATTTCGATCGTCGTAGGTCTAACAATTATTTCATATTATGAAAATTTAGTTTTGGAGCATTTAAACAAAATTATAGTTCATGCAAAAATCATATTTCCCTTATGTTCTTGTTAATATTAACATATAGTGATCGAAAAGACGATTTGTTAATTGTGACACGCAGTAAGAGCTTACTTTCATTACTATTCATCAATAAGAAAGATCATAAAATGCTTGAAAAGGTAAAAAACTTTAAACAATGACATAATAATAAATAAATTACATTCTATTTGCGATGAAAAAAATGCAAGTTATCAAGAATTTAGTTGTTCAATGTTATATTAAATAATTTTATTTGCGGGCTTGAAATATTTTGTATATGAAAAGTAAAATTTATTTACCACGACTGGAGTATACTTGAAAATACAGAATAAGGAAATATCGAAAGGAAATCATACCGAAACAGAAACCCAAAATAAAGAATACCCAATATGATAAATCTGAATAACATTTTACTAATAGTATTTAGCTAAAATATAAGGTTTTCGCATCTGAAATACTTTTTCATTAAATATTTTTAGTGTCAAAAAAGTTTCTGGAATTTTGAATATCCAACATGTCACCTTGTGCTCGTTCGAAATACAAATTTATCAAAGGTATTCGCTATTTTCCTTTTGGATGTTTTTTCGTTTGGATATTTATTGACTTCTGTCATTTTTTCGAGAAATCTCCGCTTTCATACGACAATTGTAATTACGCACCATGACTGAGTAAGTACTTTGAATAACTTAAAATTACCGTCTGGCGAGTACGGGTTATTCGGATTGAGTGGCTGTGTGGCTGAGGTGAAATTAGAAGACTCTCCATCACGCATTGACAAGGCATTCATGTAATGACCTTGAAAGAAATATTTAGAAGAACGTTCATCTAGAAAATGACAGTAGAAGATAGATAAATGAAAAGTCTCACTGTGATCGCTGTGCGGGCTTTCTGGTTTCCTTTCCTCTTTGGGTTCCTTATCCGAGCCCGACTCTGTTTTGGCTTTGCGTTGAAGCTTTTTCATTTTTGCCCTCTGATTTTGGAACCAAACTTGTACAACTCTGACGCTAAGCCCAGTGTCTTTGGCCAGAGCTTCCCGTACTTTACGGCATGGCTTTGGCGACACTTCGAACGATGCTTTGAACTGACGCCTCTGGACCGACGTGAGAATAGTCCTTGGTCGTTTCGGACCTCGCCTGCCGTCGCGTGGTCTGCTGTCGTCCAACAAGTCGTCATCTGTGAACAATGAAAAGGTCTTCTGTTTAGCCCTTGCTAGAATTTTCAAAGAGCTTAGGTTTTTCCATTTGCACGGGCCAGTAAATGCATTCGACCGATCATTTGGTAAAGAAGCGAGAGAAATGACTTTGCCTGATGATTGATCAATGAAATTCACGAACAAAAAAGGTCGAAATATACCCGTGGGAAATGCACAAATGAAAAGTGGACTCTAATTGAAAGCGGCACTTAACCGATTTTTACAAAGAGCGTACCTGATTGCAATCGCGCTTAGTCTGCAACGCTCTTGTGTCAAGAGAAGTCATCGGCATAGAGAAGTTTTGACCTAATCCATCGGATTTGATAGCAGCTACTGTGAACATTGTTTAAATTATTTTACTAAAAAGAATACTCGAGTGAACTAAGCTTGTTACTGTGATGACTGACTCAAAAAATCCACTTGATTATTACCTTGACTAACAAATTGACACTAACTGCGTTGCAGACTATACAGTCAATGTAATAGCTGCTTTAATGTTTAGCTTGATGCGCCTCGTGAGAAGGCACTAAGCAAGACTTATCATTATTATCGGTAGGTCGCAACGAAGGATGCTGAGGAAAGAGATGAGTCGCCAAGAAATACGCAAGGGGCTCCCGGAAGTAGGGAAGCGCGCAGAGTGAGCGTCGACAAACCTTGAGGACTGTTCATGTTGAAGATGTCGTTGTGGAACTCGCGCTTGCAGAGCGGCAGCCCCTGCCTGAGAATGAAGTGGGCGCCCCTGACCAGGGGATCGCCGCAGATGCAGCAGACGAAGCACTCCACGTGGAAGATGGACAGGTCGGCGCGGCTGCTGATGGACTGCATGTTGACCTTCATCACCAGGTCGCTCGACTCGATCTTCTGCTGGCAGCGCGCGCACTTGGTGGCGTAGATGCGCTGGTAGTCCTGCTTGCAGTAGAACTTGCAGTCGCGCGCGTAGCACGAGTGCGACAGCGGCGTCGCGCACTCGGCGCACGACAGGCAGCTCTCGTGGTAGTTGCGCTCGTTCACCCTCATGACGTAGCGGTCGGTTATCACTCGGCCGCAACTCGCGCACACGCCCTCCAGCAGGTTCGACTCTTGCTTCACCGAGATCGTTCCCTCTGCACAACCAACATCTCATTTCTCCATTTATTTCGATACTCCCCGCGGCCAGCTCCATCCTCTTGGCTATTGGCGTGCACTCGTAGCCCGTGCCAACGTTCACCCGACGAACGGCATGCCAAAGCAACTGCGAGTCACCGCGCGCGCGCGCCTATTGTTTCATTCCGTTAAAAGGCTGTCCGCGCAGGCAGAGCCACAATATTGTTCGATCTGAAGCAGCTATCATGTCTGCGAGGAGAAACAAACGCCAAGTGGAAAGCAGAAAAGCGCCGCGAGAGTTTCGAGTGCTGCGGCGCGGCGGCGGCGGCCATCTGCCTGCCCCGAACACCCGCGCATTACACACGCAAGCGCGCAAGATGCACCGGCGGGTGGTACCGACTCGAGTATTTGACAAGTCGTTCTACACGCGGACAGTCGAGTTGCAAACAAATCCAGCTAATATCGCCGGCTAAAGGGCTACTTTCGTTCGCAGCAGCTGGCTTTGCAAATAGAACGGGCATGAGCTCTTTTTGCCGCTGTTCGCATTGTTTGACTCATCGTTTGGTTCATTTGAGCTTTCATTATGTATAAAAAAAATAGCCACATCCCAATATTCTAATGTAACTATGCCTCGGATAAACAAATTCAGACTTATGGAATTTCGCTGAATAGCGTCAAATTATCTACTTCAAGATACTCGTTTGCGATGACAAGTGAAGTTGCTTTATAAGTGACATCGGTACAGTTTAGTCTGATTCAGTTAGGCTTACTTGGCATTGAACAATTACAACGCGTCCACTTACCTCCAATGTTATTGTTAGCCGCTTGCCTGAAGGTGATCGGAGGGCCTGCTGACATCGCTGTGCCCATGGCCACTTCGCTGACATTGTTCAGTGGTGCTTGCACCAAGGGATTGTAATGTTCCAACATGTTCAGGTATGAATGTTTGTGAAGCACGTAGGACTGACGGGAAATTTACAAAAATGCGATCTCGCGCTTGCGTCACGACCCTTTACATTGACTGGCCCCACCGTCGGTCATTATCAAGGAGTCATGTGAAGAGCGATCGGAGAAGAATACGTCGCTCGTTGACGTTTGATTGGCCAATCTTGATGTGACGCAGATGAATAAACCTGGCACTACTAGGACGTAAAAAAAGGTCGAAACAAAAAATACGTTTGTTCCGAAAGTTAGTTAACGCAGGCGGACAGCACTTGTGCGGCCGAGAACAAGTTGAAGTTGAGGAAAGAAACGAGCGACGAGCGACGAGCGCACGAGAGCGCATCCGACTTGGCAGTGCGACTACTGGACTTGGACTAGTCAGCCCTCCTCGACTAGCGCTTGGAAGAGCAAGCGCTATGATAAAGCCGCGGGGGTTGAGGGTGGGAGGCGAGGGGCGGCGCCCCGACCGAAAACCCTAACCTTGCAGCGGTTCAAGGGGTCAGAGCTGATTGGTCGAGCGGGGTGACGCCCCGTCGCCAGGCTGCGATGGCGGGGGTCGCGATATGCGCGCACGGATCTGCTTCTGTCTTTCTCTCGCTGCCGACTGATGCCCGACCTCAGCGGTACTCAACTGCGATCCCTCCCGCCGCGAATCAATACTTGCCGACGACGACGACGACGACGGCGACGACGACGACGACGGCGACTTCGTCGCTGAGGGACATGCCCGTGCGCTTTTTCATGTGCATATCGCATATTTTTCATGCACAATCAAAAGCCCACTCCGCGTTGCTCTCTCGGCTGTGAGATTGCTTTGCATTTTGTCGCTCCACTCGGCGCGCTCCGTTCAATTATTCGCTCTCGCATCCGCCGATCCTATTTTTCATTTGCTCGCCCACCCAATATATCGATTTACATAACCTTACGGATTTTCTGCCCAAAACTTTCAGCTGCCATTACGATTCAATCCGCGCTTGTCCACTCATCAGATGTCAAACTTCGAGAAGCAACTCTTGCAGCGATATTGAATCGTTCCGTAGTGCCCTTATCAAATTTCAAACTTTCTCTACAAACTTCACAGCTCAAAATCGCCGTGATAACTTCACTCCGATATCAATTATCGAGACAGCGGTGACTGGTAAGCCTTTAGTTTGCAGATGAAACTTGCGATCGATATAGATGCTTTGCTCGACAAAAATCTGAGATTCAGTTAGAACGTCAATAACGCACCGAAATCAGTCTCTTATTACAAATAGATCTTTTATTTTTGGTCAATCCCCTGTTTCATACAAATACAAAGTTTCTTTCGACAAGAATTTTTACGAGTGAATTACAATTCAGCTTCCTTACAAAATAAACTTTGTATTGAAAAAGCGATTGTTTCATATAGAATGATTTTCACCGGCGAATGCTGTGTTCAAATTTACAAAGTCAGCAGCGAAGCATTTACGTGTTTTCCTACCAGTTGAATTCAAATTAAAATTGGATCTTGCCATCTGTTTCCCTTAGTACAATTTTCAACGCAGAGCTGTTTGATTTCAATACATTAACGTTCACATGATTATGATGCATGATATAATAACAATTTTTATTTTGACTATATAATTTTTGAGTTGACAAATAGCGATTCATCATGTTATGTTAAAAAAGTCATGTAGTTTGATTCATTGACCTCTGGAAGCTGAAAATCGTACCAGAGAATCGTTGTTACAATATGTGAAGCTTTTTTATTTTCATTATTTTTTTTATTACTTTCAAAGATCTTTGCCTTTTATTTATCACGCAATCTTGAAAGTATATGCATGAAATAAATACCAAGTTTATAATGAAAATAATAAAATACATAAATTACAAAGAAATAATCTGAAAGTTACTTAGAAACGCTGTCTATTTAATTAAAATTATTAATACCATTTTTCAAGTTGATATAAGTTTTAACGCAATCAATTACATGTACACAGATATAACGGCTTCATAAATAACATTAGTGAGTATTCATTTAGTAACTCTTTGTAACAAAAGCCTTAGGAAATCCAAATCGACTCACTATGCAAATACCGATGCCCTCATAGAATATGTCATTTTCTTTTCTTTATTCATATATATTATATACACATACAATTATTCGAGTATGTTAAGTAATATTGAATACAAAATTCATTTCGTAATAACTTTCTTGAGACTCAAAAATTGAAAATTTATGTTAAAATAGAATTGTTAGTTCTTTCAAAATATTAAAAAATATTCATATTAATTAGTTATTGGATTAATTGCGATAAATTTCTTTGTGATGGAGTATCATATAAAATGTTTCTGATAGACAACAAAGCTCTACAAGCATTACGGGTTTACAAAAACAAATTATGGATAATCACAATTTCTGCCTTAAATAAGACGCGGAACGTATTAAATAGATAGCTATAAATCAATAGATTATGAAAATTTCATTAAAAAGTAAAAATTTAGTATACGTAAAAACAATAATAACATCATTAAAGAAAAATGCCAGCTCCCGTTGAAATTCACTTACATCGTTTTTGGAATTAGAGCGAAACCTATGTGGTATATCTTTTATTGAATAAAATAAAGTTACTGTAATGTTACATATAATACTAGAGTAATTTTTTAATTAAGCAGGAAAACAATCATTTTTAAGCTTTTACAGTAAATGATCATGTTATTGCGTTATAAAAACGCAATATCAAAAAGTAATTTTGATATTAAGTGTTTCCTAAATATTTACTTGTTATCTTATCTTTATTTAAAAAAATACTATGAAAAAAAGGGCAGCTTGTTTGACGTACTTGAACACGTTTCAACCATGTTACTGGAAAGATTATGAAATCCTGTAAAGAACATATATTTTAATGTTTGAAAAAGTTGTTTCTGGACAAGCAGTACCAAGACAGGATGAAGCGAAATACAGAAAATAGGTAGGAAAAGAAGACGCAAAGTGGAATGCAATGGCGCGATACTTTCGCAAGTGCATACATAACTGGTGGGGTAGCTCTCTGGCAGTGACGTTTGAGCTTGCGCAGACGCAAGACGTTGATATGTGCGAGAGGGGTGGGCATGAGGGCGGGAATTGTAGACGGAATGCCGACGTTGCTCTTTTTATCGTGTACAATCCCTGTGGCCTCATGTGTGTTTTGCGATGAAACTTTGTCTTTCTTTTTCAATAATAAATTTTCAATCTTGATATAAAAATTTTTATTTTAATAAGAATTTTAGTGTTAAGATATTAGACGTAATTGAAAATGCTACTTTCTTTTTAACTGCAACCAATGAAAGAAATTTTTTCTTTGAATTAAAAGTTAAGCGCTTATTATTTCATAGATTCTAACGAAAAATTTCGTCAAGGAAGATCAAATATTGCTTTTAAAAACACATATACATTACTATAATTACAAAATATAGAATTAGCTCATTCAATCTAAATATCTAAAAATAACCAACAATACATGTCGAAGTTTAAAAAAAAAATTAAATAGGGATGGAATAGAATACTCTAGATATATATACATATTAGTTATAAAAACTTGATTCATTTTCCTTCAAAAAAATGTATTATTATTTTAAATGATACTAACAACTAACTATCTTAAGTTATCAAAAATAATATTTGATATTAGTGATAAATGTTCGTGATCGCTCTTCGTTAAAACTATTAGCCAAAGAAGGATTGCTGTAATATAATAACATAAAAACTTAAGAAGCACTTTATAACTGTCAGTTTTCACTTTAATAATACAAACTATTTCTACAACACGTTTTAATAAAAACCATTTCGACAACAATTTTGTGATATCTTCATCTCAGTGCTCAGTTAAAGTTTGATTTTCATCATTTAAAAAATGGTGAATATTTAAAATCATTCTTGAATCTTTAGTTTTCTAACATCACTTGGTTTCCTAGAAATATCACATCAATAAAAAGTTTTAAATCAATCGATTATTGCTATGATTCACCTGCATACGATAATGGACAGTATCCTTATCACCCGTAAAGTCGAATTAATCACTTTGTAAATAAACGAGAAAAAAAGATTTGATTACAAAAGATATATAAATATAATGTTGGTACGGACACATAGATAATCCTCTTATTAACCGTGGCTTATCATCTTTGCAGATGCAAGCATTCTGGTAAGCCAAAGCTAAAAGTAGCTTTAGTATTCTTAATTTTTTTAATCATTCCAAATTGACATGTGATAAAATTAAATTTTAACGTACATTTTTGAGATTAGAAATGTGTGAGTTTGAACGATCATTAATCTAGAATGAGCTTAGAATTATTCATAATCTATTCGTCAATATCTTTTTCGTAGATGTATTTGGACAAGTGGCGGTTCGACCAAATGATTTTGTTTATATACTATTTCTGCGTTAAAAAGCTCCATGAAAAATTAAAATCTGCTATCTCATAATTGGAGGCAACCGCATATGGTTTCACCTCATAATCGAATATTTTCTACGCCATTTCACATTAATATTTGTTAATATCCATCGCATATTAATTGATCGAAACATTTAGCAAATAACAACATTTGAATTTAGCTATTTTACATATATGAGCTATCGAGAGATGAAGTATAAACATTTTAAAAATAAATGTAACTAAATAGATTTATTAATCTATACAGTTTTTTATTAAATAAATTATATTACTGTAAATTAAATTCAAAAGTTTGTTTACCAAGTACTTGGTAAACAAGTATCAAGTACAATGTCATCAGTATTGTATTATAAACATTCGGTATGCGATGACTTTCCCATCAATTGCAAGCAATTGTCATCTTATTGACTTATAAATCATACAGTTGTTAACATGGATTCATTGTTTGGTACAATCTGTTTGTTTTAAATTGATTCGTTGAAGTTTGATTCAATTATTGTAACAACTGTGAAGACTTATTTCTAAACAGAAGAAGTAACTTTTTCATAATTACGTACACGATATCGTGATTTGAAATTTCATTTGAAAAAAGTCGGAAAGTTGCTAGCACATGTCGAATGCGTCAAAGTTACAGGACAATTCTGTAGGTCTTGTATATTATACGATTCGCAATGCTTTAGTTTTTCCAAGCAAAATCTTGCCAAGTCTGAAGAATGTATCTACAAGATGTCGGAAAGTGCTCTAACGCCATAAGCCTCTACTTATAAAAATTTAAAAATATTTACAAAATATATACAGAGCATCAACTTCGAGTATCCGACTGCAAAGTCGAACTGAGGAAAATTGTTATTATTCATCTTGGGCTCAAGAAGTGCACATGCGTACTTTGGTATGGAGTTTAATTTTGGATTATTGATAAAATCTACTTGACGTTGCCGCGATGACGAAACAATGTTGCATC